TACGCCTACGTTCACCATTAAATTACTATTTTTCAATAATTAATCAATCAAATATCAAGATTTTTAAAATCCTAGCTAATAATTTAGGGACCTCTAATTTTAAATTTTGAATATTATGTTTGTTTAATTTATATATTTTATTTTTGAACTTTCATTAAAATAAATTATTTAAATCCTTATTGTTAATCTATTTGTAGGTTAATTATTTAACTAAAATCTAACATGGGTATGTTTTTTTTTTTTTTTTTTTGTTATTTAATGTATGACAAAAATTTGAAGCAAATTATAACCGTTTTTTTTGGTTGAATTATTAGTGAAAAAAATTTGACAGATATTGTTCACTTTAGCCCATTAATACAGTCGTTAGCCTCAAGGTTTCGTTCCCATTAGTATCACTGTCTACCTCATGGTTTTAAAAATGTGTCTGTTAGAGAGGTGCTTCCACACCCTTATAAGGAATATTTTGTTCCCCTCTCCAACCGTTGTGGGATCTTACAACCCGCCATCTTAGAGATTCAGTGTCCTTGTTGGCACGCCGCCCGGTGTCTGACTTAGATATCATTTATAACGACCCAGACATACCGCTAGTAGATATTATCCACTTTGACCCGTTACTTATCTTCGTCAGCCTCACAGTTTTAAAATGCAACCTGACCCAACCCAAATTATAAGCGTTGAGTTGGGTTTGATTAGATTTCAGTTTGAGTTTGGTTCTTTTTTTTTTTAACCTGATCCGGTTCGGGTTCCAAAAGAAAATGATTGGGTTAATCTGATCCAACTCAAGAACCTTAAAAAAAAGGCTCAACGTCCAAGCCCAAAGCCCAATCCCAAGCCTAGAACGTCTAGCTATTTGCATCTGCGTGGTCTGCGATGTCATAATCGCACTCTACTATGCATTCGTTGTTTGACCGTGAGTCTGAGACTTTGTCTCTCAAACTTTCAAAGAAGTTCTAACATCTTGATCTAATCAGCCAAGTTATACTCAAACAACAAAATAGATATACATTTCTTAAACCAATATCAATTCAATGTCCAATCAATGTCCATGAGCATTGAATTGATAGCATTTTGTGGTGATAGATATCAAAAAAGAATGGGATCCTTAGAGGAAGATATGTCCGTTTACCTAACATAAGGAGGATATGTATAATCTTTCATCTCATCTCACACATAATGTTTTGCATTTAATGGTAAAATGAAAGTGAGGAGGAGAAGTCAAGTAATGGTGGGGCAATGACATTACCAATACATATTTCAAACTCTAAAAAGCCCCACACCCTTTGCCCGTCATTATTGCCCTATTCTACAATCCCATCTCAATAGATAAAGACGTCACACCCTAAGCACCAAGTCTAATGAGAGAGACTTCGAGACCTTATCTATATAGCTTACTAGACAACGATCGACTGCTCGTCTAAGAACATAGATCATCCACACTGAGACTGAGATACGACCCATGAAAGATTAGGTTTCCTAGGGTCGTTGAAACATTACCCACCATGAAAAAATTGGAAATTTGAAAAATAAGGAGATTAGCAAAGTTTGTGCAACAAGATGTTAGAGATGTTTAAAGGGAGAGCAAGGACAGAGAAGCCTTCTTCATCTTCGTCTCTCCATTTAGAATATGTTAAATAGACATCTCTACAAGACGTGTGACAATATGACTTAACAAGTTGATCACTTGTGGGTATTGGAAGCCAAAGAGCTCCCTACACCTTGTTAAAGCTTAGTTCTAACCGCATTGCAAAATCTACCACCCTATGTAGAACACTTGTTGCGTGAATTTTTAGAGATATCGAAATATTTTCAAGTGTCAAAAGGTATGTAATACAACCCTAACTTAGTATTGATTTAATCATCGTATGTTGCATATAACATCCCACCGCTTTAAGCTTCTCTAATATCTATCAGTTTAACGCTTTGTCTCATCGCTTTAGCTATCGACTTACGTGGATCTATGACTTGATTCTTGCATTAACGATTAGCTAGAAGTTGTCTACGTCACACGAATAAGACGGTTCCACCAACCCTTAGTAATTTGATGAATGCGTAGTGTGCTTTCTTTGACTCGTTGGTTTAGCTTTTGTTTCAAAGAGTTAGATTGAAGTAGGTGAAGGAGTGTTACTTGGCCAATGGGGCGAGTACATGTTGATCGAAGAAACTTTGCTTATTTGGTTAACCTAACTCATAACGGAAACTGCATTTTTTTCACTGACTTAAGCATCGGTTATATCAATGTGCAAACTTTTCTTGTTTTGCACGTTACATTTTTTTTTTCTCTTCAAACAAATTTATCGTTGTTATCACGTAAAAATCGTTGCATTATCCAATCCAGATTTCAACATCAACAATCAGTATATATATTTTTTTGAATAATTGATCCGAGTATATATGAAAAGTTCGAATTATTTTAGGGTTATGAACGTTGTTTAACTCAATCTGAGTGTAATGGTCGAAGTTTATAGATGTGGAATGAATGAAAACAATGTACATAAAATTGTGGGGAAGAGTTTCATTAATAAGACGGGCCAAATTAAACTCTTCAATAACAAAGACGTTTTTTTCTCTATCTTTACATCTTCAAATAATTGAGTTCTCTCGGCCAGTCCATGAGAATAACAATTCACCCATATTTATGGAGGGAAATAAAGGGTCACCACTTCAAATTTAATACTATCTTAACCGGTGTATATGGCTAAGCACCACACTGAATGTGACGAGCTAGGATTCATAAACAATGACTCATTGATAGACATCACATTAACAACCCATTCGTGTTCATGACTCATGAATTCCATGTAGGATCGAACCCACTCAGAAGCTCACATACCAAAAGGTTTGATTTCTGTGAGGCCAAGACGCCCTAGATTGGTAAGAAAGACTTGCGGCACGTGCTAAGTCAAGTACGAACCTGTTGGATAATAAAGAACATCATAAATATCGAGACTCGTCTCACTATCATGATACATAACAATATTACCTTAGTTCAGCTCCAAATCGCTTAATTATTTATTTATACAACTAAATTTGATAAATATTAACATTCATTTATGAACCTAATTTATATTATATGGTATAATTATTAGTTTGCAATATTTATAACATTATAATATTCTATATTATATTATGGATAATGTTTTCTCACCAAATAATAATAATAATAATAATGGATGGCATGGCTACCATTAAAAATCCCTAGAATCAAGGAAATAACTTAAACATCAAATAAGATGGTTTTGGTTTTTCTTTTAATTTAAAAAATATAAAAAATCAAGATAAGATATTTTAAGTCATCTTACAGTCCCATAATTTAATCTCGGACACATGGGTTGGAGTGCAATGTCAATACTCTCGTGCAGTTCAGTACTATTCTTGAAAGATCATTTTCAAAGGAAGACGCCTGAGATACTCGCCCAGTAACGCTCACCTATATTGTAAGATGCACGTGACACAAGTTAGCTAGCTTAGGCTATAAGGCCCAAGGGTGGTGGAGAATCAACATGCATTTTTAATCTTTCTCGAGTAGATGTCTTTTTAGTGAGCGAACATACAGCCTCGTACACCGTCCATGAAAATAAATATTTCACATCCAAACAAAATAATTAAATTAAGCTTATTTATTAAAAAAAAAAATCAGAATTTTAAAGATGAATATATTTAGTAAATGCATAGAATTAGAAATTAAACACTAATATATGATAATATTATTAAAGAAAAGTACATTAAAAATAATAAGATAGACCAATTATGGGGTTTTTATTTATTTATTTATTTAAATTTAAATTTAAATTAAATTTAGTTGGTATAGTTTATGCGGTCAATAATTCAATGATTTAAATTAGAGAATTAAATTAATTTTTTTTTATTGTAGTTGAGCTATGACCAAATTGGAATAATTTTAAAATATATTGACTTAAAATTAATCGTACGACCTTATGTCATATCATCCATATCAAACATCCAACCGCATGCACATTATTAAATTTTGTTTAAAATTTATTATTATTATTATTATATGATACAAAGTTGTCGGAGAAAATTGGATTCTTTTCCTTTCAAAATTCAAAAAAATGGGAACGTTTTCATTAATTTAATTAATCAATATAATTTAACATAGATTAAATGGCCTTGATTAAATCAACCATATCTCACAAAATATGATGCGACAACAGATCATGATACAATCTTGCTTTATGAATAATAATTAAAAAAAAAATCTTATAATGTTTGTTTGGTTTATAATTAGACACGAGTTTTTTTTTTCTCACAAGAAATAATTATTTATTTAGGTACTACGTATTTAATTAATGTAATTTAAACCATATGTATTTAATAATTTGCAGAAGAGTTAAAAAAAATTAACTTTTAAAAATGTTTGAATTTTAAAAAAAATTATTAAAAAATTTTAAAAATATTCTAAAAATTATTTATAAACTTTAAAAATGTTAATGGAAGGTTTGTCATGTATTAAAATAAAAAAATTATTTTATTTTTTTAATTTAATGTTAATTTTAAAATTTCAAGGAGATTTTTTAAATAAAAATAGAGTAATTTTGAACTTAAAAAATAAAATTGAATATTAAAATGAGTTAAAAGAAGATTAAAAATAATATAAAAAATTATGGGTAAAAATATAACCTTTTAAAATTTAAATACGGGATAAAGAAATAATATTTGGACTTGTATTTACGGAGCCCATTAGCAGAAGAAAGCCCAATAACTTTAAATTTCAGCCCAATAATTCCTCTCTATGGGCTTTTGACTGGGCCGAGAATATCGAGCCTAAATTTCAGGTTGGATCCGAAACCTTGTTGAACTCTGTCTCAGTTTCTCCCTTGGCTCGAACTTCGCTCCTGGAGGAGCTCTGGAACTGCGACTGGCGCGAGCCACCGTCCTGTTCGTTTGAAGAAAGCTTCGAGGGAGGGTTGAATCCATCGATCATCGTTCAGATTTTTCGCCCTTCGGTGATGCTATGATTGAGTCATTGAAACTTGGATACGATGACATTCTTCTGTAGAATAAACCAATCCAAGCTCAAGTCCCTTTCGGATCAATTCAAGAGACATTACTTTCAAATCTCTTATGCTGCGTCGCTCGATTCCGGTCGTATAACAAAACAAGTTCTTGGGTGTGTAGAGCGGACAATTCCCCGTAGACCAGCTTATTGTGGCGATAATGTTAGGTTCTTTGCTGCTCCAGTTCAGGTAGCGATTCTGATCCTTATGGATGAGTAATGGCACATTAGTTTTTGAATTTGGGCTAAATTATACGGAACAGTATGTAGGGGTACTTTTTTGTTTTTCTGTTTCTTTTTATGGTTTCATATCCTGTGATAGTCGCTAAAATTTCATGCCTAGAACTTTCAGAAGTTACATATTAGAGTAGGCAACAAAATAAGATTTAGCTGTTTTTGAATTATTTATTTTCAATTTTATATTGGTTTTCACTAAAAAATTATCATTAACTAGTTAAGTTCGAATTTCTACTGATTATAAATCAATACTGGTTCGAATTTTCCTCCTCTCTAACTCGAGATCAGTCGTTTGTACATCCCTCAAATTGTTTATTATCTTGTTTAAATTATAGACCGTTTAATTTATGGTGTCTGATGCTGTTAACTCTATGGCATGGTATTGAAGTTTCAAGGTAAGGCGAAGAAAGAAGAGAAGGACACAAGTGGGCCACGACTTAATGATAAAATCAAGGCCGACTTTGTGAGGCTTGTATCTGATGATGGTATGTGGGATAATTATAATTGAATTTTTGTTAATATCATAGCTTGAGACTCCCAAGTTAGAGATTCCTATTCACGTTCTTAAGATTGATACCTCTTTCATAGTAATGCAAAATGAGAAGAGTGCATGGAACATTAAATTCTCATGTTTCGGGGAAGCAAGGTGTGTGTTTACTGTTTGATTTGTATTTTGTGTGATATTTATGTACAACTACATGCTTCATCGATAAAATTTACTAGAAAACAAGTATTGTATCTATCAGTTGAAATGAGTGATAGGGTATGCTAACTTGTTTGTGGAAAAATAGGAGCATGACAATAATGGCAATATGAGTACGAAAATAAACATGCATTTTTTAAATGAAGGGCGATGGAGCTACACAGCATTATCCATTTGACTTGAATGTCAAAAGTTGGATTAGTACAAAATATTATTTTGGGAGACACCATAGACAAAACCCAAAAGGTTATTCTATCAAAAACAAATTTGTATTGAAAATTTTCTTTCAACGACCGACTATCTCTTTAAACCAAGTAGCCCCAAGCAAGAATCCATCACTGCTCTTCAAAAACTCTTTGAGAATGAATTTTCTCATGTAGGAAGTTGTGTAAAAATGTCTCGGGCTTTCATTATGCATGTGGATTATGTTTATTTATTACTTGTTAACGTGTTGCACATATTTTTGTAGGACATACGGTTCTTAAGTTACATGAAGCTCTTGCACGTGCTCGTGAGCTCAATCTTGATTTGGTTGAGGTAAACTTCCATATTTTAATGGGGAAAAAAACATAAATCTTTGTATTAAAGACCGAAACCATTATAAAAAACTAGAGAACATAAAGAGTAAGATGAGCTTATTATTAGGTTTTGCAAAATTTGATTACATGTGTCAAATATTCTCAGGTCCAAACAAAAGCCAACCCACCTGTCTGTAAAATTATGGATTTCCACAGAGAGAAATATAAACAGCAAATAAGGGAAAAGGACCGTGTTAAAAGCAAGGTGAGCTTCTTGATGCAGTGTACATATGGGTTCGTGACTACTGTTAAGACAGTGAATGCTTTTAGTCTGGATGTGGAAATCAATCGTTTGTTATGTATATATAACTTCTGTTATTTGTTGCCATGTCGGTGCAGATCCGTACTTTATCTTCAAATTATATGTCAAGTTGGTTTTGTATTATTGTTCATTTTGATAATGAATGGAACGTGATATAAATCACCAAAAACTTGGATGATTGCAGTCATCTAATATTTTTGCGTCACCTTCATGGTTGCATAAATAAAACACACAATCGAGTCTGATTGTCGGAGCCTCATTATGAATCATGTTAAAAGATTATTCATTCAGTGTGCCTTTGCTTTGTTTTTCTGCAATCAATTTGACTTTTTTAAGCTGATTACACATGCAAATCTCTAGAACTCTGGCTTAATTTATTGCCGTTTTGAAGTTATGCCACTTTTAGTTGATTTTTCCCAGCAGGAAAACCGGTAAGTAATAGTACTTCAGGCCTTCAGAAATGACACCTTATTATTGATATTAGAAAAAGTGTTATACAAATTGTGAAAGGATTCATATTCTTGCAGGCTGAACTGAGTTTAAAAAAGGGAGATCACAAAGAAGTCCGCTTCACTGGGAAAACTGTAAGTAATTCATTTTTGAATGTTTAGACCTGCCTTGAACGGATATCACCATTAACCTTTTTGTCATTGCCTGAGATCTAAAGGTTAAAAATTTTTAATATCGGCAAAGATTACTCATGTTGCTACATTGTTTCAGCGTTTGTTAATTTCCTCCGATTGTTGCTACTACCTACAATATTGGCAATACTTTTGGTATTTTTTCCTCTCCCAAGGATTATAATGAATTTGGTTCCTTCTCTCTATGACACCATTTTTCTGTAATATGACTGATGCTATGACTACGAGTTGAGACCCAATTCTGTTTCCAATCAAGGAGTCCTTGAGCTCCAAATCAACAGCGTTTTGACCACTAAGAGGGCTTAGAAAAGCACTTTTGGTATTTGATACTAAAATATTTTTTTTATATGGTCTTTAGGAGGAGAAGGACCTAAGGATGAAAGCTGATATGGTAAAGCGATTGATGGAACGTGGTTACCGTGTGAAGGTATTACTTTTTTCATTTTACAAAATGACTATTTATAATTTCTGTTCCTTTAGTTTCTTATTTCCTTTCAGAGGTAATAGTCTTTTGTTTGCATGTTTTTCATTATAAAATCCCCTCAAAATGGCCTACCTCATCTCGCAATTTTCTTTCCCGATTTCGAATTGCTGACCATTACAATTTCCGTTAACAAACTACAACCATGTCGTTAACTAGTGTCCTACTAGCCAACTCTTATCCAGACCCTGACCTAAGAGATTTCATGAGTTTCGAGTAATGCTAACTTCACTAAATTTCTGTTACAACATCCAGTTCTCTCTTTCTATCCTTGATTTATTTTTAGAAGTATCCTCATTAAATGTCGTGTCTTTGACTACCCTGGGTTGATCTAGTGGTCAATAAAATCCATAGTGGCCACCTACCTACCTAGAATATTATAGTTTCCTTAGCAGCTAAATGTTGTAAGGTCAAGCGATCGTCTCATGAGAATAGTCGAGTTGCTTGCAAGCTTGCCCGAACACTGACATATATTTTAAAAAAATGGGTCTTATTGAATAAGGACATGCCATTTGTGTATAAAGACCACGTGTATTTGTTTGTCGTATTTGTACTGTCCTTGTAATCTCTTTCTAAGACGACCCCCTGCTTTGTGATATGTACTATTGCTGCTTTTAGGTTGTTCAAATTGACGTTTTAAACATCATGGTGTTCAATAGTAGCTTACTTTGTATGTTCCTTTTACAGTGTAGTGCCAGGGGCGGTGAGGATCAGGACTTGGGTGGCTTGCTATCTCATCTTTCTGCTTTGGTATTGTCTTATGAATCACTTCATTTTCTCTCCAAACAATTCCAATCTATCAATTTCTGTTAAGTGTCTTATTTTTCCGACTTCTCTTCGCTTACTATCTTTTTGCAGATAGAGGATGTAGCAGTGGTGGAAAGTGGACCAAGGGTGGAAAGAGGGCAGGCATATGTTATAGTCAGGCATGTTAAATTTGGCCCCTCAAAGAAAGGGGGTGGCGGCAAAGCATCGAATGTTGTTGCAAATGCGAAGCAGAAGGCTCAAAATGACACCACCTCTCCGACTTCACCAGCCCGTTCTTCAAGCCCAAGGGAAGAAGCAATGGACCCTGAAGTTGATTTTGAGAGTTCTAAAGAAACTACCTGGTCCGTTGTTGATGGTAATAATGATTTTGACGAAGTGTTTGACTTGAAAGATGATGCTAATGGGACTCCCTCAAAAACTGCTGCCAAGAAAATGAATGTCTCGGACCTTTCTCAACCAAGGGGGTTGCCTGATTCTGGCCGAACCAGCTCTGTTCCACTCTCTCGACAAGATCCTTCCATCAAAGCCGATAATAGATACAAAAAGATCGAACCTGCAAACCGTTTTTTCCAACCACCAAATGTAATGGACAGCAAGGGTCGAGGTGCTAAAGATTCGCTCCAATCAGAACCCCAGATTCGTGATCAAAGGAGGCACACTCCGAACACAAACTTCTCGCCCTTGACGAGAGAAACCCGACGATATGAGGACAATGCTTCTGCATCAAGAAACATTAAGCCTGGTCCGCCACACAACACTGCTCCCAGTTCATCCAAAACTAGCTTTGGGATCTTCAGTTCTCTGAATGACAACGCTCCAGGAAAGCAAGATGCACCGGCCACAAGTTATCGAGGCAACCAAGGGCCTCCATACACGCCATCGACTAAGTCCTGAGGGCAAGGGACAGAAAAGCTGGGGAGTTTTCAGTAAGTAGAGTCCAAATGATTCCCCAAACAGGACATCAAAGCCTGATTAAGGTGAAGGTAGACATGCTTACAGTGATTGTTTGAGATATTATTAGATGGTAGGATGAATTTTGGTGATGATATTTATGCAGACATAATAAGACAGAACAAAGATTTTTGTTTCAGACAAGAACTGCTGCTGTGCATGCCCTATTTTAAAGAGGCAACACAATTCTTTCAAATGTATCAGTAATGAGTGATGAGAATGAGCATTATTAATCCATATTTTTATGTTTGATGATATTAGTTATGGTTATAAAATGCTCAAGAATCCACTAATTCTATTATCTATCTAAATGCAAAATGGTTGGAAACTATGTTCCATTCCATTTGATATTAGGTTTCGCTTTTTAATCATGGTCAGAGAATTAAAGCCTCGAAAATTGGACCGTGACAATTAGTTATAGGATAACTTAGTTGAGATCAAACGGTATTAGAGATGTTCCAATGAAAAAGACAACATCAATAGTGGGTATGTTAGTTGGGCCAACTTAGTTGTGATCAAACAATATTAGAAATGTCCATAGGTGAGGAACGAGAAAGACAATAACCAGCCATGGATGATGTGTTGTTAGTTGAGCCAACTTAGTTAAGATCAAACACCATTGGAGAGGTCCGTGAAACAAGAACAGTGAAACAAGAACAAGAAAGACAACCATCAATAATGGATGAGTTAGTTGGGCCAATCACATGGGATGCAACGTTTGAATGCCTCATTTCTTATAAGATTTTGCATGTTATTGTCTAAAATAGAAAAGTCTAACGTGCTCAATTAGTATCATGACCAAAAAATCATTACCATAGCATAATTGACCAAATTTTAAAATTTTAATTAATTTTTTTTTTTTTTAGTTTTTATAGAATTTAAGAAGACAAAAATAAAGGTTAACGTTAACTTGCCTTGTGAAACATAAACTTCCTTTCCAATATTTAGAGTCCGAATCCCTCAAGAAAAGCACCTTCCCATTCCCTTTGCTTCAATTCCAAACTTGTATATATATATATATATATATATTTTTTTTTTTTTTTTATTTCCATCACTATTTTTTAATGGTAATAATAAATAAATAAAAAGTGCTTCAAACATTTATTAAATAGACACAAAATTTGTCTTATTAATTTTTTAATAACAATTTTTTTTGTATTTTATATTTTATTTTTAAATTTTATGTGCATACATAAATAGTATTAAAATAACTATTAAAATACAGAATTTAGTAGCACAACATCTAACTGAATATAAAAATTTAGGATTCAGAATCTTAACGTCTTGTAATAATATATATTTTAATTATAAATTTGTTACTGAACTTTTATATTTAAAATTTTATAAAATATTTAATAAAATTTTAAAATTTAAATTTATAGAATCAAATTAAGCATTTAAAATTACGATTTTGCCACTACGTTGAACACTTGCTAAGTCGGGCAAGCTTAGTTAACAAAGTGTTGACCTAGGAGTATTATTAAATCACGGGACAAAAATATGTAACAATAAGGCCCTAACTTTTAATGTTTTTCCAGTTTTAACCCCAATATTTTACGTATTTACAAACCCACCCCCACGATGCTCTCTTTCCAGCTCCTCCCTCTAATTTTCTCCCTCATTGTCATTGCTTGGTTCTCTGGCAATATATTTTCTGGTTCGAAGACGGAGTTGTAAGGAACCCCTCCGTTCAAAATCAGACACCTCCTTTTTCTCCATCGCATCGCCTTCTTCCCCTCCATTCATCGACGATTCTTGGATTGCCTTTCTCCTTGCAGTTCTTCTTTGTCTACCTCGAAAGAAAGCTCAGGTTCTCGTTTCATTAGCTTCTGTGTTTTGGTTTCTGTATTGGATTGAGCTTTTCGATTGAATAGTTGTTGTTTATTGTTTGGTTAACTGGTAGGGTATTTGAATTTAGCTCGTTGGATTGATCTGAGAAGGTCTTTAATCGTGTGTTTCAGCTTCTTTTGTTTGTTTTTTTGTTTTTCATTTTGATGATTGGTTCGTCCTGCTCTGGGTATTTGAATGCCAGACTGGGATAGGTATTGATGGTTTTAGCCATAATTGATTCTTGTGGTATCTGATTCAACCAACTTGTGGATTTGTCCGAAGGCGCTAATTGGATGCCTTCTTATGTGTAGTCTGATGATTGCCATTTAATGTTGGCTTCATAGAATCAATGGATAATGATACCAATGGTTGGTGTAAAAGGGCTCCTTCTCAAGATATTTTCGACGTTCCCATTTCTCCTCTGGTCTTACTAGAAATATTAGCAAATGGGCCCAGAAATTTTCATTTCTGTTTGTGTTGGTCACTTGTTGTTCGCTTTCTTTCTGGCGCTTGTTTTTTTGTTTTGAACTATTGGACATAGATTTGGTCACTGCTCTAAGTACCCACAGAAGCTACCTGCAAAATATCTCAACCTCCTGCTTCTCTGTTCATGTTATAACTTTTCTTTACTCGATGAAAATATGATGAAAGAAAAAGAAGAAAAATAGTGAGTGAGCTTATTTGACTTGATTGTTGCTTTGAGTAGAATTACAATGGTTAGTTTATGCATTATTTTTTTTTCTTTCTAAGAGACTCAGGGCACATGAATTTTTTTTTTGTTCATTTTCTTGCTGCCAAGATTGGCTCTTAGGAAGCGTGAAAACTCTTATTACATGTGGAGTTGGGCATCTAACATGAACATCTATTGGCACATGATTTGAAGTGTGCAATTGTTTTGAATTTTGCACACAATGAGGATGCAAGAAGGATGCTTTGGGGACCTAAGAAGCATGGACATTCAAGTTTGGCTAGTGTTTCCCCATCCAGCACATGCCAACCACTTGGACACTCCGACATTTGTTGGACATGTATCAGACAATCGTTAGAATAATAAATATGTGTTTCACACTAGTGATCAATATAGGTCCAATATTTGTTAGACATGCATTGAACACTTATTTAGTATACTAAATAGGCACATAATAATATAGGGCAAAAGTTAATAGATTTTGAGAGAAAAATTCATCACACTAATTTTTTAGCATATAAATGAGTAAACTTATTGAGTTTGAATTTCCTTCTGGTATATAATGATATATTTTTTAAAAATTGTATATTGTGTCTTTGCTATGTTGTGTCTTAGGTTCTTAAAACTGAAAAAGGAAAATAAATACATTATACTTAGTCTTAATCCAGTACGTGAGAAGTGCAGAAATGATGCTTTAGGTCATCATTTTAAGAATAGTATATTTTGTGGAATGCTTGATGATTTTTCTGATCGAGAGTATAATGCCAATAAAGAAATATATTTGACTTCAGAACATTTGAATATGTATAAAATTGAATCGATGAAACTACAAGTCTGTACCTTCAATTCTTTAGAACACCAAAAGTATGTATAATATCTTCTATGCAATGTGTCCCAACCATGTTTCTGGCCTGATTCTTTTAAACCTCATATGCTGCCGTTCTACATTGCTTCATGTATGTGTCCCATTTCTGTTTTTGTGCTTCTTAGTTTTGACTTTGAAAAATGTGTTTCACAAGATTGAATTGACAAATTATCTCAATATACGTGAGTTACATATCTAAGTGATGGATTTACTCATCCTTCTTCCTTCTTTATTTTCAGATGGAGCAACAGGGTTCTGTGGACAAGGAATCTCTTATCGGTACTGGCAATAGTTATACGAATAGGGATGGTGTTTCTTCAAGTGAAAATGTCCACATGACAATCACTTCAAGTGAAAATGTCCACATGACAACTATAAATAATGATGAAACTAGAAGAACAAATGAGAATACAAGCGACAAACCTAGTGTTCCACATATATACAGGCAAGATATTGTAAAAAGCAAAGGTAGTGGTATGATAGGGATTGTGACCGAAGTTGCTGGTGATGCTGATTCAGATAGTGACATTACTGATGATGAAGATGAAGATGAGGATGGTGAGGATGGTGAGGATGGTGGTGGATGTGATGATGATGATGGTGATGGAGAGAAAGAAGGACAAAACAAGGAAAATTATGGTGATGACAGTAATGCTAAAAATTCCAACAGAGATAATTATAAGAGCCAACCTCTTCCTGATGACGAAGTTCGAGTCCTTTGGATGGATGAAAGTGAGACAACTCTGAATGTTAATGACTTAACAGTTATAGATAGGGGATTCTTACATGGTGATTTTGTTGCTGCTGTTTCTGATCCAACTGGGCAAGCAGGTGTTGTGGTAGATGTAAATATCTCTGTTGATTTGCTGGTTCCTGATGGATCAATTATGAAAGATATATCATCTAAAGACTTGAAACGTGTGAGAGACTTCACTGTGGGGGATTATGTGGTCCTTGGTCCATGGTTGGGTAGAATTGATGATGTATTGGATAATGTGACTGTGATGTTTGATGATGGCTCTAAGTGTAAGGTCACAAAGGCAGAGCCATTGCGGCTCAAACCAGTTTCTAAGAATATCCTTGAAGATGCAAACTTTCCTTACTATCCTGGTCAGCGTGTAAAGGCGAGTTCTTCAACAGTTTTTAAGAATTCTAAATGGCTTTCTGGTTTATGGAAACCTAATCGCTTGGAAGGTACCGTCACCAAAGTTACAGTTGGTTCAGTGTTCATTTATTGGATAGCATCTGCTGGATATGGACCAGATTCTTCTACCACCCCAGCCGAAGAACAGACTCCAAAGAACTTGAGATTACTGACTTGTTTCTCACATGCAAATTGGCAGTTGGGCGACTGGTGTCTTCTTCCCTCATCATTCTCCTCTGGCTTGACTAAGGAATCATCACAAACACATCGTTCTGATTCAGTGACCAACTCATTAGATTCCACACAACCGGAGGTTGTGTGTGATTCAGAGGATGTTGTGCTAAATGAATTAAGTGGGACAACTGAATCCACTGATCTTGATTCCCTTAGTGCATGTGATGGAAATTATAGGAATCCTGAATGTAATATTTTGCCTGAATCTAGTAATTCTAGAGCTCTCAAGGAGACTAGCCATGAGACTTGGCCTCTACATCGCAAAAAAATTCGTAAAGTTGTCATCAGGAGAGATAAGAAGGCTAGAAAGAAAGAGGAAAACTTTGAGAGGGCCCTTCTAATTATCAATACTAAGACAAAAGTTGATGTTGCATGGCAGGATGGCCGGACAGAATGTGGACTGGATTCAACAACCTTGATTCCAATTGATAATCCAGGTGATCATGAATTTGTTCCTGAACAGTATGTGGTTGAGAAGGCCTCCGATAATGATGATGATATTAGCGAAAGCAGGCGGGTTGGAGTTGTGAAAAGTGTTCATGCAAAGGAGCGCACAGCCTGTGTGATGTGGTTAAAACCAGTCTCCAGGGCAGAGGATCCTCGAGAATTTGACATACAAGAAATTGTTAGTGTGTATGAACTAGAGGGGCATCCAGATTATGACTACTGTTATGGTGATGTGGTTGTTCGATTGTCCCCTGTTTCTGATTCTATAGAATCAATTTCTTTGGGAAACAATACAGAGGAATTAAAGCAGCAAAGTTCAACAAATGAGATGATGAATTGTACAGAAAAGGCTTCAGGAAGCCAGAAAATAGAAGATCCCTCATGTAGTGATGATTGCATCGACTTCTCAGATCTCTCTTGGGTTGGAAATATAACTGGTCTCAAGAATGGTGATATTGAAGTTACTTGGGCTAATGGCATGGTTTCAACGGTATTTTTTTATTTTTTATTTCTTAATTTTTTTTTTTTTAAATGATGCTTGGTTAGTCTTGAACGTAGACAATGAGACCAACTGGTTTATGATCTTCTTCTAAAAGGAAGCATGCGTTATAATTGAAATTAAACAAAATTGTTATAATGATCAGGATCAGGAAAGATTATTCTTGTATTTTCATAGGAGTTATTTTTAAGCGTCATATCCACTTGGCTTTTAAGTTTTATTGGGTTGCAATTTATATTAGTTGGTACCTTGTTGGATTCTATGATTCTCTTTTGGTTTCGATGACGAGACCTTTTTGTAATTATTTGCTAGGTTTTATTTTACTGGATTAAGACCTCTTTTTGTACTTTATAGTTTGGCTCCTCTTTTGTGGGCTTCTTTTTCGTATGCCTATGTATCCTCTTTTTTTCTTTTTCCTCGATGAAAGTTTGGTTTCTCATTTATGAAAAATCAAATTGATCCGGAAATATTAAAAGTGTTGTTTTTTTGTTCTGTTTCCTTTGTCTTGATGATGGAGGCTATGATCTAATACTTGTACGTGGTAACTGATTTAGTTTTGAATGGTTTTCACTTTTCTCACTCCCAGAGTTTAGAACTTAAATGCGAGAAGTGTTTGTTGTTTTACTAAGGTTGGCCCTCAAGCAATTTATGTTGTCGGTCGAGATGATGATGATGAATCTATTGCTGCTGGGAGTGAAGTAAGTAATGGTGCTGCAAGTTGGGAAACAGTTGATGATGATGAAAGGGATTCTGTTGATAATGCTAAGGAGGTAATATTCTTTTGAACCACTAAAGTTGGTGTATCTCGTATATACCTGGTTTGTCGATTTGCTTTTGCTTGTAACATTGTTACTGACAATTTTTAGGATAATTACGCCTGATATGTATTAAGGCATCTCTTTCTAAGAAAAATAATGATCCACGTCAATGTCTCTAGGATATCGAGCTGCAAGATCCTGGTGTGAATTCTGAAGAGGAAGGAAGTGAACAGAATAATTCAGGAAGAAATCTAGCTCTTTCTGTTCCTTTTGCTGCAATTCGATTTTTTACTAGATTGGCTGCTGGAATATTCTCACGAGGACCAAGAAATCCAGAATTAATGGATGTGGATTCCCACAGTGAAAGTGAAACTCAATCCTTGGAAATTCAAGCTTTAGAGGAAAAAGATTCTGGGCTTCAGTCTAGCTCTCTTAAATCCAATTCTTTTGATGCTTCTGATATGAACTCTGATTGTGGAAGAGGAGAGGATAATATTGCTTCAGAGCCATCAGAAGTGTTGGAATCGGCAGACGCTTCAAGCAACCTGAGGACTGCAGAATCAGATGGTTCAGCATGCCATGAGGATGGCACCTGCAGCTTCAAAGGGTTTGATATAGCTAAAGATCCTTTGGACCACTATTTCCTTGGTACAAATGGACAAGTAAGTAATTAACAAAATTCTCCAAACCTTCGCTTTAGTATATTCTTTCTGTTCGTCAATACTTGGATGTTTACTCGAAAGATTCTCGCACAAGTTTGAATGATTGATTGAACATTGTTGCACACAGACTAATTCTGGAAGGAAATGGCTCAAGAAAATCCAGCAAGATTGGAGTATCCTCCAGAACAATTTGCCAGGTAAACAATGCTTACCTTTGCTTGATTATGTGATTATGCATGTCTTCTGTGATTGACATTCATGTATCTGTTAGCTGGCTTCGATTTTGAACCATGAATGAATTTTTGTAACAGATGGGATATACGTTCGAGTCTACGAAGACCGTATGGACCTCTTAAGAGCAGTCATTGTTGGGGCTTACGGGACTCCATACCAAGATGGCCTCTTCTTCTTCGATTTTCACCTCCCACCAGAGTATCCCGACGTTCCACCAGTAAGCAATCCTTGACTTTTTAATCATTCTACCTGGGTACTGTACTTTATATAAAGTTCACTGATGGAGCTTTATTACGTGCAGTCAGCGTATTATCATTCAGGTGGGTGGCGGATAAATCCAAATCTTTACGAGGAAGGCAAAGTCTGCCTTAGCCTTTTAAATACTTGGACTGGTAGAGGAAATGAAGTGTGGGATTCAAAGTCCTCTAGCATCCTTCAAGTGTTGGTCTCGCTTCAGGGATTAGTGTTGAATTCTAAACCATATTTTAATGAAGCTGGATATGACAAGCAAATTGGAACAGCAGAAGGAGAGAAAAATTCCTTGTCGTACAATGAAAACACTTTCTTATTAAACTGCAAGACAATAATGTATCTTATGAGGAAGCCTCCCAAGGTGGGTAATCATTTTATTATTATTATTCATTTGTGCTCAGAAAGTTGGTGATGGAATTACGGTAGTGACTATGTGAAGTTTGTTCATGAATAGGACTTTGAAGAACTGGTTAAAGAACATTTCAGGAGGCGTGGATATTTCATCCTGAAGGCCTGTGATGCATACATGAAAGGACACTTAATTGGCTCGCTTACGGAAGATGCCTCTATAAGAGAAAACAGCGATCCCAACTCGACGTCGGTCGGCTTTAAGCTTATGCTTGCTAAGATCGTTCCGAAGCTCATGTCATCGTTGAACGAAGTTGGAGCAGATTGTGATGATTTTAAGCATTTTCAACAGTTGTAGCATTAAAGAAAACTCCAATTACATATAGTTGACAAGGTAAATCTTTCCTTCAATTCATTCCTGATTCATGTCAAATCCTCTCTCTTTACCCATTATGATCAATTATGCAACCCTGTTCATAAGTTCTTAAGTGGGGCCTCATTTCTTTGAAAAGCTTCAAAGAATTCTAGGAGCTGGGTTTTAGGGACAACTCTTTTGGTCTCTGTCATCATTTATTTTCTTTTAAAAAGGAATGTCAGTTTTTGAACTTGTTCTGCCTGGCTGCTTGTTTATGCCTAAAATGGACTTCATTGAAGTGTTGATCAAAGAAGAGTAAAAAAAGTATGATATTTTATGAGGCATTTTATTTGGACTTCCAACATATTATATCATTTTTCTTCGAAAGTTCATCGGATTCGTAGACTTAGGTCTTCATTAGACTCACTTGTTAAGTGATTTGATATGTTGTTTCGAGAAGTAGGTTCGGTAAATAATCCATCTTATTTTGTTCAATTGTCTAACTCTTATTATTAGGGTATCTTATACAAATAATGTCAATATCAAATGCGTTGGGTTATGAAGTTTGTTGCTTATTTATAACTACTTAGTCATTTACATTTCTACTAACTTTATAGTAAATAAATAAATATGTCAAGCATGTGTATAAAAAAATATTTATTTACATTTTATTCTTAATATTATTATTTTTAGGTTAAATAAAAGTTGTAATATTATTTTACTTTAAAATATATATATATTTGGATGAAAATTATTAGTATTTTGTTAACCAAATTTGTGAAAACTTAAAAGGGTGTTTTTTTAAAGTCAAATGATATTTTTAAAAATACCATATTTTGGAACAAAGTATTAAGTATTTATAGTTACCTAAGAATATTTTTTTAATTTTTAATTTTTAATTTTTTATGGAAAAAAAAAAGAAAAAAGAAAAGAAGGATTCAGATGGCTGCAAAGACCGGCCGCCGGCTATGAAAGAAAATAAAGCTTAGTGATGGATTTTGGTATTTTATTGTTCATCACAAGCAAGAAATTAAGTTGTTGGTATAAATCATCGTTGGAAAATCCGGTTGAAGAAAAGCATCGTCGGAGAAAATTTTTAACTAATCGTGGTGTCAACTGGGGAAAGGACTCGTCGTCGAACGCCGTTGGAGCTCGCCAGAAAGCTTCAGTAAGTTTTGGGCTCTGTTTTTTCTCTCTGTTTCCAGCCGAATACCTCTGATAGGTCGCCACCTCCTTCACCTCAGATTCGCCTCATTGTTTACAATGCGTTGAATGAGCAGTCATGGCCGAGCGTTGAATCATGTCGCCGGGAGAACTAAAAATCCAGAAAATCAGAGGTAAGCGCAGTTCAGTCGGACCGATTCGGTTCAATTCGATGAGTTCAATCTGTTTCTTTTCGTTTTCTGAGTCGATTTCAACTCTACCAATAATCTCCTATCATAAGGTTCATAGAATCAATCTATTGTAAGGAAAAAGAAGATCGGATCTTTGCAAGTACAGTGAAATCAAATGAATAACGAAGTGGAAGAACTTAGAGTTAAATTTTTTAAAAATTTATTTGGTATTTTGACAAGATGAACAGAAACATCTACTCTAAATGTGTCTTAAAATCAACACAAGTATTCTTTCTTGGGAAAAAAAAAATCTAGAAAGAAGGTAGAAAATGGATCACAATACTCTGTTCATCGCGAGAAGAAGCAAAGCCATGAAAGATTAACTCGCCGATCCAACATACTTGAAAGATGATTATGAAGAACAAATGAGATGGATTCAGTTCCTTAACCACTTCTCATAATCCCTCGCCTCGCCAGCATCCTCGCAATTGGCGGCGTCAGCCCAATCGTTATTGGAATCCGAATAGGTAGCAGTGCCTTGTTGCACAGAACGGCCAAAGCCAACGCGCCGCCAGTCGACGCCGCAAGCTCTGCAGTACGATTCCTCGTCCTCGGCTCCTGCGCCACCGTCGATTGAGTCTCCGACGCAGGGCTTTCTTCGATCACTAGTCCATCATCTACGGACGATGCGGTCTCGCCGGGACTAGTCTGCGACTGATCTTTGGAAGAGAATCCATCCATGTGTAACTTATCGAGTAGCGATTCAACATCCACATTGTTCTTGATGGCGACATAGAGGCCAGTGATCGAAGCCGCCGACACTGAGAAATGAACTCCGATTGCAACCTTCCCGTACTTCTTGAGAAGCTCGCGGAATCGGCCGCCACCGGTGAAGAAAGCCATTGATGAAAGAGAAGGAAAAAGGTCCGGGAAGGGGAGGCAGCGCGTCGGAGCTTGGCGGTGGAGGGTGGAGGCTAGGGTTTTGAAGTACTTTTTATTAAGGTTACTTACGAAGGAGGCGTTTTTCTGAGAGAATATCAATACGACAACGTTTTGAGATGATTGAAAAGTCAACAGATTCAATGCAAGTACAGCCCATGTCCTGAGACGTAGCTAACGGGCCGAAAACCCATCAGGTTCGACCCGAATGAAATATGCCTTTTCTAGATTATGCTATTCTTGAGGGGTTAAAATGCAAATTCGGTAAAGTTTCTATTTAGCCCCTAAGATTTTTTAAGAGTTTTAGTATAGTATAGTGTAGTGAGATCTAAAACTAACGTAGAGATGATTTAAAATAGTGTGACACGTTCCAGTTCAAAATTTGAATTTGGGTTACATTTACTCGTATCAAGTCTCAATTTTTGTCTACCACTTTAATGGGTTTCTATTATATTGTATGTGATTGAATAAACGAACGAGATTTCTCCCTCTCCAACTTGACTAGAATCAAGGAGGGTCAGCCTATGATCATAACCCGATAGCTATTCCGATGTCTTCTAACTCTCTAGTAGCTTTCCTAGCTACCAGAGATCTGGTTGTCTCGGCTTTGAAAGATGAGCGTTAGTCAAACAAGTGAATTTTTAAATAGCCAACAAATAAAAAAAAGGGTTAAATATTGATTAGTCAAGAGAGGTAAGTCTTTGTTTAAGAGGTGTGATGGGTTTCCTAGCTGTTCCACCTAAGACATATTGATTGCAAGTTTGCTTAAAGATTAAACCTACTTATATCTTCTTCTCTCTCTGTGTGTGTCTGACTTAGAGAAAGGGGTTTTGGAGTGAGAAACAATGATGATGATGATGGTGAAGTTGTTGATGTTTCTTAGCTTTGGTGGACTGTCAATGTGTGAGGTGTTTCTTGTTGGAGACGAAGAAGGCTGGAACTCTGGCATCAATTTTGCTACCTGGTCTCAAAACCACAATTTCACCAAAGGAGATTTTCTAGGTATTCATCAACTTCTCTCTCTTTCTTCCATCTTCAAACCGAGTAGCTTTTAGGTCGTGCTAGAGTATTTGAACTTCTAACCTCTTTGTCGATGGATTAGTTCGTTTGTTGATTGAAACTGTTGAGTACTAGTGATTGTAAGATTCTATGTCGGTTGGAGAGGGCAACGAAACATTTCTTATAAGTGTGTGGAAACCTCTCCCTAACCAATGTGTTTTAAAAACAGTGAGACTTATAGCGATATGTAACGAGTCAAAGCAGACAATATTTGCTAGCGGTTGGCTTGGGTTGTTACAAATGGTATTAGAGCCAGAATTCGGGTGGTGTGCCAACGAAGACGTTGGGTCCCCAAAGGAAGTGTATTCTGAGATTTCACATCAGTTGGAGAAGGGAACGAAACATTCTTTATAAGGGTGCGGAAACCTCTCCCCAGCATACATGTTTTAAAAATTGTAAGGCTGACGACGATTTGTAACTGGCCAAAGCGAATAATATCTACTATTGGTGAGCTTGGGCTGTTACAAATGGTGTCAAAGCTAGACACGGAACGGTGTGCCAGCGAGGACATTGGGCCAACAAGAGGGGTGAATTGTGAGATCTCACATCGGTTGGAGAATGGAACGAAGCATTCCTTATAAGGGTGCGGAAACCTCTCCATAGCATACGCGTTTTAAAAACTGTGAGATTGATTACAATATGTAACTGGCCAAAGCAGATAATGTCTACTAGTGGTGGGCTTGAGCTGTTACAAATGGTGTCAAAGTCAGACACTGAACGGTGTGCCAGCGAGGACGTTGGGCCACTAAGAGGGGTGGATTGTGAGAACCCACATCACTGGAAGAAGGGAACGAAACATTCCTTATAAAAGTGTAGAAATTTCTCTCTAGTAAACGCATTTTAAAATCATGAAGCTGACGGCGATACATAACATGTCAAAGTAGACAATATTTTCCAGCAGTGAGTTTGGGCTGTTACAAATGGTATCAGAGCTAGACACTGAGTTGTATGCTAGCGAGGACGTTAGGCCCCTAAGGAGAGTGGATTGTGAGATCCCACATCAATGAAGAAGATAACGAAATATTTTTTATAAAGGTGTGAAAACTTATTCCTAGCAGACACGTTTTAAAACCGTGAGGCTAACGACGATACGTAACGGGTCAAAGTAGACAATATCTACTAGCGATAAGGTTGAGCTGTTATAGTGATTTTAACGTGACCTGATCTCTCGGGATTGAATATGTAGTTGTTCGATTAATGTTTTAGTTTTAATTTTTAACGATCGTGTTATAGTTTTTGATTTCGAGTTTACGAAAAATTCATGTAGTTTTCAATTATGCAAAGAGTGTACACAATGTATATGAAGTTAGTGAGGAAACATTCAGATCATGCGAGACAAGTAATGGAGTATTGGGTGAATATGAGAGTGGAAATGATCGAATTGAGCTGAAAGAAGCAAGGAAGTATTGGTTCATATGTAATGTAGCTGGTCATTGCTTGGGCGGAATGAGGTTTGGAATTGATGTCAATGAAGCCAATCCTAGGAGCCATCTCCCACTTAGCCCTGTTCAATCTCCTCCCCCACCCACCAACCATGCCTCTCACCATGGAAGCTATGCACTATGGAGCTCTTTTATGGGTATGGTAGCATTTCAAACTCTGTTCGTCGAACAGTATCGGTAGTGCAGTTTTGAGATTTGAGTTCTTACCTTGCAACAGAAGAATGTTACTGATGTCTTAACTCTTTCGAGGGTTGTTCAAATTTGTTACTTTTGACCGTCGTTGAATGAATACGAGATTTGAGTTCTTGACTTGCAACAGAAGAATGTTACTGATGTCTTAAACTGTTTTGAGGGTTGTTCAAATTTGTTACTTTTAACTATCGTTGAATGAACAATGTATCGTCGTGCTGTACTTTGACGTCAAATTGTTCTCTCTCTCTCTCTCTCGTACGGGTTTTTTTGACAAAACGTTTCTCTTTCACTCTCTTCAAATTTGTTTTTGAAATTTTTTGCCCTAGAGGTATGGATATTACGACGATGAGGTTTGGAGATTCGAGTATAGATATTATAGTGATGAGGTTGAAAAGTCGAGCTTTTGACTTGCAACTGTGTCTTAACTGTTTCTAGGGTGGTTTAAGTTTGTAAATTTTATTCATGGTTGAATGGATTTTAGCTATTGTGCTCTATTTTGATATCAAATTATTCTCTTTTCATACTCGTTCTTGAAATTTTTTTAAGTATAGATATTACAGTGGTAAGATATGGAGTTCCGAGCTTTTGACTTTCAGCAAAAAGATGTTACTAATGTCTTAGCTGTTTTGAGAATTATTCGAATTTATTACGTTCGATCATCGTTCAATGAATAAAAGAAAAACTAAGCCTTTAAAGCAATTACGCTCTACTTTCGTATAATAACGTTCTATTTTTCTCTTAAAACTCTGTCCTTGAAATGTCCTGAAAGTAGAGATATTACTGTAGCGAGGTTTGGAGGTTCGAGCTTTTGACTTGCAATAACAGAAGTCTATGGCATCTTAATCATTTTAAAAATAGATTATGTTCGTACCGTCTCTGAGTGGATAAAAAAGAAATTGAGCGGGATTTTTAATAAAAAGATATTTTATTATATATTTTAATTATTTAATGAATGGAAATTAATTAATGTAATAAATTTATATAAATACAAGTGGGTGGGTATGTAGATAATAAATAAATAAATTGACATTTTTTTTAATAGAAACGATAAGATAAAGTCGTGCAAGCAAGTCACTTCAACTTGCATATTTAAATTATTATCAATACTTTATTATAGAGTTGACTTTTATAATTAATTTGAGTTGACCAATCGAATGAATGGCCAACATTTCAAATATATTTAAAAACACGTGTTAAAATATATTATTTTTTTATATTTTTAAACTTTTATAATTAATTTGAGTTGACTTCTCAACGACTGCCTTACTTAAACATCATTTTAAAACTAGGTGAGTATTAAAATACTCAGTAAGGAAGTCTGGTAGCGGAGACAAATGCATAAGCCATCATATGACTAATCAAACGAAATTGAGGGAGTTTAGTGGTTAATTACCCGAAACACACTGTATGTAGTTTTGTACTAAAACTATTTTCAGCAATCACTCCTCAAAATGACTATTAGTGGTTGGTTAGCCTTATGCCTTAAAATGATTATCAATAGTTGATTATCTGATTCACACAAAGTGAGATCTTACATTGGTTGGAGAGGAGAATGTGATATTCGTTATAAAAGTGTGGAAACCTCTTTCTAGTAGATGCGTTTTGAAATTGTGAGATTATCGACGATAGGTAACAGACCAAAACAGACAATATTTTTTAGCACTGGGATTTGATTGTTACGGTTAAAGTAAAAATTATGCTTCTACGTGAGTGGTTGACTTGGCTAGGTCGCTCACAAAGTGGTCCACTAGTTAACTCGTCATGGTTAGGAGAGAATTATCGAGTTTGATTATAATTTCTTTTTATTAAAAGTGTTGCATTAATAATGTACACTTTCATAACGAAATAAGTAGTGATCGTAAATAAAATTTTGACTTTGAGACAATTATTAAATTATTAAATTATTAAATTATTAAATGAAAATGTATTATTACAATTGATTTGTTTCCCAAATTGGATTTTACGTGAAACAAAACATTAGGGATATTTTTTTCTTATTAGATAAATAGGGCTGATGACGAAATTATATTCTCCGTTCTCATCCCACCCGCTCAATATAAATATATTTTTAACACATATTAATATATAAATTAATTAATTTTGAGACTTTAATTGTATTATTTAAACTAAAACTAGGTTGTAAATTGTTAAAATTATGGTGTAATATTAAATTTTAAATTTTTTAAAATTATGTTGGAACCAAATATATTGAATTATCACGATTTTTTTCAATGAAAAGTTTAAAATAACTATATTTTAAAAAAAAAACATGGAAATATTATCTGTGAACGTGATCCCACATTCTCCATAGAAAAATGGGAATTTTCGTGGAGACGGGGAATGAAATAGGAGTGTGGATGGAGAAGGGGAAGGCTCTTTGTCCCCGCTTGCCCCGTTGATATCTCTACCAGCCACCACCATTACAACTACGCACAAAATCATCTATAATCGACTGACCATCTTGTCACAATTACACTTTTGATGGCAGCGGACTTGCGATTGTGCGGCAATCACTTTTCAATAACAAGTGAGTTAAGTCAATTCGTTCTTGCGTCGCTTACAGCCGAACGAATTATGCTTGAGCCTCTGACCCCGGTTCAAGAACAAAGTTTTAAAAAATGGAGGTAGAGAGATTTCGAAAGAGAGTTTTGAAAGTAAGATTTTGGGTAGGGAGGATGTGATTGGTTTGTAATTTGAGTCCATAATTAATTTACTAATAAATTATAGGTTTAATAGAAAGTTTAGGTTTATTTTTATATATAACAAATCAATTAAAATTTTAAAAAATCAATTTAAAAATATAAAGTGAGAAAAAGTTCGTTTTTAGAGACCGAATTATTTGACTGCAATTCAACAAACTTGACCATAGACCCACAGCAACTGATCGGAGATCGGAAACTAAGAGAAAATGGAGGCAAAATTTGGTTCATGCGATGATGATTTTCTAGAAAATGGAATTACGAGTCTTCATTCCTTGTTCTCTGTACGCTAAATTTCCAGAAGAAGACGTCAGAGATGAAATGGCGGAGTCAAACAATGGCGCCCAATTTACTTCCATTATCAGACTGTACCAACAACCAAATCGGAGCCAAGGTGACTTTCCACGCTTTCTATTTAATGGCGTTTCCACTTTCCACCCATAATTCCGACCAACTCTTCACAAGTGGAGCTTCCATCGCCACTTCTTTTTTATCTGAAAATTCTGTCTCAGAGAGTTCATTTTCTTTTTCTTTTTCTTCTCTATATTAGGTCAGATTTCCACCGGCCTTGAAGAACATCGCTGTTGGTAGGTAGATTAGAAGAACAGACAGTTTGCGATATCTCGAGTTGTTTGTTTGAATAAGTTGCCAGGGAAACAAGACTTTGATTAATCAGGTTCCTCGCTGTTCCCTGACCATTGATTTGTTCTTGCTGTTCTATATTGCTTACTGTTTGATTGGTGTAAGATTTAGGGTTTAGATTTTCTGTGTGGTGGTCTGCTCTGCTGCTGATTTACTTGGTTCGAAAATTCTGGCAATATCATTTTTCTTACGTTTTTGAGGTCTTTGTTTGATAATCTGGGAATGGAATGATCTGTTCATGGCATCTTGATTCATAGTTGGAAAATGAAAATGAGTGCTACTGTGCTGTGAAAATTATAAACTTGATCAATCTTGGGCTCTCTCACAGGTTTTCAAATGGCTGGAAAAGGAAATGAACGTTTAGATTGTACACATGCTTCCAATCCTTACCATGTCTGCTTTGAACACTGTTCTGAAAAGAAGGGTGAAAGCAAGAAGCAGATAGCTAGAAAGTATTCAGGTTCTTTAGCTTTACTCTTCATTCATTCATTCACTGTAAGCTAATTTTCAAGCATTAGTTCAAAACTGCCTTGGTTTGTTTTTGAAACTTGTAGCATTTTGGCTGTTGGGTTCGCTTTATGTAACAAGATTATCCGAACATAGGTTATGATTTTTTTTTAGTTCAACAACATAAGGTGGAGAAATTCGAACCTTTGTTCTCCTGGTCTAGGATTGTGAGATCCCACATCAGTTGGGGAGGAGAACGAAACATTCTTTATAAGCGTGTGGAAACCTCTCCCTAGTAGACACATTTTAAAACTTTGAGGGGAAGCCTGAGAGGGAAAGCCCAAAAAGGACAATATCTGCTAGCGGTGGGCTTGAATCGTTACAAGGATACATGTCTTGATGAGTTAAGTTATGCTCAGATTGGCATGAATCTCATATTTATTAAAACTATCAGCCAAATATTCACATATCATTTCATCTATCCAGCTTTTTTAAATGGCAATCACTAACATCAACAGACAAGTTAAGACTTGAATTTTCTGGAGATGTTCAAAATCATGGAACATCTTAATAGATTCATTTTCTTGCGTTGTGTAAATTGATGAAGAGTATGACGGAAGTGAAAAATATTTCATTGTCTCCATCACCCCTCTTTATGAAGGCGATGGTGCGATGAAGTATAGCGGCGAACGCAAAAAGACGGTTCGTTCAGATTGCACTAATGGATCGAATCCTTACCACAACTGTAATGAATTCTGCTCAAACATAATCACTCATTCTGGCAGGCCAAGGGCAGAAAGGGATTCAGGTATTTTCCCTTTGACTTGGCTCTTTTTTCCCCACGAAAAGGAACCATGATAAGTCGTGATCATCGCAAACTATGCAAGGAAAGTTATGCAGATTTGATAGGCAAGTAACTGTTATTATAATACATAAGAAGCCAAAGCAAAGAAAAAGGTGATATTTGTCGCTTCTTCTTACTCGGGTTATATGCTATCAAAACCGTTGTTGTTGCCTAATCGTTTTTAGCTTATAACATTGCTTGTTTTCAACATATTAGCTCGCTCACATTTTTCAAAACATTTCTCTCAAATGTGACTTGAGGCTCGAGTATACACCGATGTTGTCCGCAAAATCTAAATTTCTCATGGCTGACTTGTTCATTGGATTAGCGGCAGATTCAGGTGGAGCTATATCTATCCGAATGCTGATGTATTTTTTAGCTGCAGGTTCAGGTGGAGCAACGAAGGATTCGAGGCCAAAATCACCCCGAAAACTCAATGTATCTTCGGTGAGTGCCGTTTCGTTGAAACCTCAAGTAACTAAAGCCCGTGCTCTTCCAGTGGAAAAAACAAATTTGAGGAATGGTGACTATATCAAGCCGTATGATGGGGAAACTTGCTTTGTTGAAGACTCTTTGACGATCGAGGAAAAAAATAAATTCTCCCATTTGATTCTAGTTTCTGCAAATGCCCTGAAGGTCTGTTTCTGGCGCACAAGCACACACAGGACAGAACTTTGTTCTTCTTTTTCATAACTAAATTACCTTCCATCTTCCTTGTTTCCTGTGTCTTTCATGGCAGACTGATGCTTCCTCAATTACTTATGTGAAATCAAAAGAAGACATTAATACAAGGCCTGATGAAGTTTCTGAAATAGTGCAAGATCCTCCACTTCATGATGAGGAAGAAGGTGGTCGTACTACCGCTTCACTCAATATCACTAGCTTTCCTTTCCCCGACATGGTTCGTAATCATATAAAATGGGACGAGGACGAAGTTAAATCAGTATTATCCGAGCCCTCTGTACCCGTGGGGAAGTACTATGTTAAAGCAAGTTCTGCTCCCATTCTGCAATCAATCTTCAACAAGCATGGAGACATAGCGGCTTCATGTAAACTGGAATCGACATCGATCCGCTCTTATTATTTGGAGAGTGTGTGCTATATCATTCAAGAGTTGCAGCACACAAAGTTCTCCCAGAAGGCGTCCAAGTCCAAAGTTAAAGAACTCTTAGCCATCATCAACGACTTGGTTTCTTCAGAAATGAACGTTGGTTGGTTGCATAGTATACTCAACGATGTTGCAGAAGCTGTTGAGTCCTCCAGCAGCCAACAATGGAGTCTGGAGGTGGCCAAGGCAAATTGCGACCACGAGTTGGAGCTGACCAAGAAAGAACTCGAATCTCGAGTCGAGGATTTAACACGAAAAGAAAAGGAAATGAGCAGTGCGAAGGCAAAAGTCGTCGACACCAGAGCTCGCTTGAGTGAACTCGAGCTCAAATATGGTCAGCTGAATGAGGAGATTTCATCTCTGCAGTTAAAGGTTAATGGTATCAAAATCAATACCTTGACCGATCAACTTTTGTAAATTTTCAGGTTAGCCTCAAGGCTCTTTTTAGGCAAACTAGAAGGCAGAAATACTATATATTGTACTATATATTTAAAATATTATTTAACGATTCCATAAATTTTGACTTTGAATTTTTGTGTTTAATAGATTTTTGAACTTTAACTGAGATATCTCACTTTTAATTTGTAACGAGTTAAAAAAAATTAAATTAATTGATCTATTAAATATAAAATTAAATTTTATTTTTATCATGGTCGTAAATTTAAAAATTAAAATATTTGGATAATATATCGTTCATTTAATTCGTGGGAGATCGGGAATGGAGAGTGAAAAAAAGTTTCTCGTTCGACAAATGAGGTTGTTCTCGTGTGGTCCGTCTCATTATATATATATATATATAGTTATTTAGTAAATAAATATATTAAATTTATTAGAATGTTTTAGGATTTTTTAAAATATAAATTATATTTTAGGAAGAATTTAGGAATAGTAGAGATGAGAAAAGGATTGATTACTCATTAGATCAAAGATGATAGGTTTAGGGTAATGGAAATCAGAATTATTTGTGCTTTTATTCTCCGTTCTTCCCAAACTCGTAGAGAACCTCTTGCTTTCTTCTTCGTGTTCTAATTCACGCCGAAGCCCTACCTTTCAGGTACAGCTCTATAGCTCTATTTTAGCGTTATGGCATCTTTTATTACTTTTCTTGTTGGTTCTTATGCTTTATTTCGCTTGAATTTTGGGTTTGCATAGCAAGTTTTGACTGCGACTAGTTATAATCTTCATGCTGCTATTCGTTGTTTTTTCTTGTTTGCTTTCTTTCGTTTATACGAAATAGGGAAAGGATTATGGTTTCCCTCCATTTTTCGTGTGTGTGCATGTAGTGGACTAGATTACTCTTTGTGTCGTTGTCCGTAGTTTCTTTTCCCTAGAAGTTGAATGGTTATAGTTCGCACGGGAATAAATTGAGTTTCTTCGAATCTCTCATGCAACATACACAGACAAAAAAAAAAAAAAAAAAAAAAAATTATGTTGGGTAAGTATGCGCGCATCGTATATTCTGAGAAGTTGAGGATTATCCTTGGCGTTAGTTCGAAAAGTTCGGTTGATTTAACAAGATTCAGCTGGAAATTTGAACATTTTTATGCTCCGTTTAATTATGACTTTTTATTTGCAGTGTGTTATTGGAGTAAGAGAAGTTGTTGCAAAGATGTCCGATGAAGGAAGAGTACACCCTGATTGTAGAAATGCTTCTAATCCTTATCATGAATGCACCGAATACTGTTTTAAAGTAATAGCTGAAGTCAAAGCCCGGAATCAGCAAAATGAGCCAGGTTTGTTTGACATGCTACAATTTCTTTGCAATTACCTTGAGAATTGTGGCTTTTGCTTGAATTTACTTATTTCTTCAACATTGCTCGCAATTGGCTCTATAAATTGCTTAATCATAATTGATTCCCCCCTCCACCCTCTAATTTTGGATGATGCCATTTGTTATCTGTCTTTCATCTCTTATTTTTTTCTTGTGAATTGTGATCACAGTTCCCACATCATCAGAAGGTGTTCAAGCTGGTCGAAGTAGTGGTTCTTCTAATTTTGTGCCTCCTGATGAGTATGAAGATCTTCGTGACGAAAAGCCGAATGAAGAAGGGCACAGTGATGGTGATACTGACAAATTTAGTGGTGGGGAGAATGTGGAAGGAGACTTCACAAAACTCACGGGGAGGAAAAAGAAATTGTTTGAAATTAGGCTTAAGATGGTAATTTTCTACGTTTTTTTAAAAGTAACTACCAATTGCTATCGTGTATCAAGTCGTGACTTATGGATGATGGATGTAGAATGAGGCGCGCAAAGCTAATCAAACAGCAATTGCTGCTGAAAAAAAGAAAATGGAACCTCCATCAGAATCAAGAGGTATTTCTAAACAAAAGTGGCTTGAGGATCGGAAGAAGAAAATTGGGAAGCTTTTGGATGCAAATGGCTTGGACATGAGTAAAGCATATATGTTAGATACACAAGAGGCAGCAGAGTCCAAATACAAGAAATGGGAGAAGGATCCAGCTCCCTATGGATGGGATGGTGAGTCTCTATCTGTACTATAAATCTTATAATATCAATTGAGCAATTCCTGTGCACATGGGTTCTTTCGTATGCTTGAGGTGCATCTATGTTTCCCTGAACATAAAATTGCACTATGCTGATTTTGGCTGTTTTTCATGGACAAATGCATTTTTTTTAATACTTCGACAAGGTATGCTGGTTGATGACGGAAACATGATTTGATTCTAGGATATAGATATTATTTGGTGAGATGTTGAGGATATGTATGCATGCTCCTGCCCAAATTGGTGTGAACTCTCATCATTGCTGATATCTTCTTTCTTGATGTGGAATGTTATCTTATAGGTGTAGTCTCCTATGTTTCTCTTTATAGAGCCATTTAAATTGATTGTTTAATTTTGATATGTATTATATTCCAATNGGGGGGGGGGGGGGGGGGGGGGGGGGGGGGGGGGGGGGGGGGGGGGGGGGGGGGGGGGGGGGGGGGGGGGGGGGGGGGGGGGGGGGGGGGGGGGTGGGTATTGCTTGGGTTTGTATTTCACCTACTTGTTAATATGCGTTAATACTTGTCTAAAGGTTAAACTGCTTTGTTTTAACAGTCTTTAACCAGAAAACATTGTATGATGCATACAAAAAGAGGACAAAGAATGTGAATGTTGACCTTGAGGAATATAATAAGATGAAAGATTCTGATCCTGAGTTCTACCGTGAGGCTTCAAGTCTTCAATATGGAAAGGTATTGTTTGTTCCACTATAATTTCAACCGTATGGGCAATTATTAGATTTCTGAGGATATAGGATTTTCATTGCCGTGCAGGCACCTAAGATTTCAGAGGATAAGATAGACAATATGGTGAAAGAACTCAAGGACCGAGAGGAGAAGCGAAAGTCGTTTAGCCGTAGGAGGAAGTTTCATGAAGACAAGGATATTGATTCTATCAATGACCGCAATGAGCATTTCAACAAAAAGATCGAGCGGGCCTTTGGTAGATACACTCTGGAGATCAAAAACAATCTTGAGCGAGGAACTGCATTACCTGATTAAGGTATTGTTTAGAAGAGGCTCTGGTTCATAGGTCAAGTCATTTACTTTATGCACCTTTTCTTTCCTCTCTCCCCATGCTTGATGCATGTTTTCCGCTTTTATTGTTCTTCACTCTCTGCTAAAGAAGGCATATGCTTCTTTTTACCCTTGACCCCCTTCCTCTGTTGTCACGTGAATATACTTGTCATGAGGAGAGAGAAACAACAAAATGCATCTTCTATGCTCGTTTCGTTTTGGCCAGAGGTTACATATTTCTTTCTAACCATGGCTTCCTTCTCTGGATGACTTATTTAAATTTCATGTTGTTTTCTTTCCTTCCTTTTTCTGTAGGATTTTTGGGGAAGCTTGGAATCCTAATAGTTGGGAGTGTTTAAAGCTTTTTCTCCTTAAATTTAAAAAAGAAGTTATCCTGTAAAAGATTTCTAGCGAAGCTACAGAATTCTTCTTTCAAGTGATAGAAGATTGTAACCGTCATTATTGACTGAGGTTGTTTCATTGTGAATACCTTGTCCTTGTTTCAACACGTACAAATTACCCCTAATCCGAACAACGGTTTTCATTTTTTTTTTTTTTTTGCATTTCTTTCCGTTTCTTCACTAAGATGGTTTGAGGACGAATAATTTTAACTTGGGACTGTTTTTTTAGTTTGAAAGCAAGGGATATTGGAGCTCCAAGGGCCTCGAAAGCTGTTTTTGCAGGTCTGCAGCTGCAGCTCACAAGTCAATCTCATCAAGGTACGAATTAAGTTTCTTCTAAATCAACATGGTCCTCCAAGAAAGCGTAGAAACACTTAATGGATCGGTAAGATTACGCTGTATTCACTTTGTACACTTCTGAGATATAAGTTATGTCATCCACCCTCTTGAAACTAGTTTGTGTAAGGAAGTCGTTCAGTTTCATGGTTCTTTTTACTTGGTATTTCTTAAAATGACTCCGCCCCAAACAGAGAGGGTCCTAATAACACGAGATGTTTGCAGACAAACCACTTTCCTGCCGCTTTGTTTCCCTTTTCCCCTTTTGTGACTCTCGACAGATGGAATGAATGGCTTGTTGTATTCAGGTTTTTGTATTTATTAAATAGTGTAAAAAAATTAGTGAGTCAGCCGCTTTTGTAGTATCAAAATGTCACCTTAAAATTATTAAAGCATAACATAAAGAATTATAATCGAGTCTTTTCTAAACTTACAGATACAAAAATATATGATATTGAAATCTACGGATATCCGAAGTTTGGAGCCAAAAAAATAATTTATTCTTTTTCATTTTAGTCTACATGGAAATGACATGGTTTAAGTGGGGGAGGCACAGTACGCACGCACGACCGTGACACGCAACAAAGATTGCACAATGAGTAAAGATATGTGCTAGAAAATAAACTAACAGTATTTATCATTTGGAAGGGACAAAAGAAACATGTTCTTTGTTCAACAATTTCTGATCTCTGGTAGGATTTGAATCTGATAGGATTTTCGAGAAATTCTTTGATTTCTTTTGAAAGCCGTTGTTTTTACTTTCTGTGAAAGGTTAGAACATTAAGGAATATCTAGAAAAGTATTTAAAGAATCGTTCATTCCATATGATCTTCCAACTGAGTAGTCACAAAACAATAATAACAACAGTAAGATATAGGAAAAAAGAAACAAAAAGAAACAACCCCGAAAGTTCTACAGATTCTCTTTCAAATCGGGACTATGTTGAGTCATCTACAAGTTATCAGTATATAATACAAAAAGAAAGACATTCAAAACCGTGCTTGAAATGATCCAACTTCAACTATTGACTCAAGTACCATAACTCGATAGCTTGGAAACGAATGAGCTCAAGCCATGATTTCGTAGGCATAATAACGCTTTCACAGCGGAAGATGGAATTCGAGACTCTTCAAGCTCCTAGATTAAATTAATAAGTCATTGTTGGAATGAATTATTGACCTGCTCATTGTTCGTAATAGAAAGTAGAAAATTTCAGCAACCAACCGGGCACAATTTCTAGACAGCAAAACGCATCTATAACTGTTTATAGATATCTCATATGAGGAGTAAATATGATGATTTTAAACTACAAAATATATGACATGAGAGCAAGACAGGAGGGCTTTACTGAAACAAATTTTACAAGGGCTCTGTCTCATCCTGCCTTTTGTTTTTTGTTGATATCGTGAAGCACACAGACATCTGCCGCCGTCTTCATCTGAAACAAACAAGACATTTTCATATTAGAAGAGCGGATGCTCCTACTTACTGCCCCAACAAATAAACTTCAAATTGGATAAACTTCTCAGACAATAATGACATGACACCCTTCAGCTCTTAATACTATCAATCAAAAAGTACGTGTGATGAAAGAGCAAACACGTCGAGGTATACGATTAGTAGCGAAATAGGTGGAAGAGAGAGTCAGGATGTGGCGGGGAGCGTGATGGTGGTGAACAGAGGCAGAGGCAACTGTGAATTGGAACAGTACACATCGTGGCAATCGTAAATTTCTTAAACATGGGCATTCTCCATTAGACTTGTACTAATTGAAACCTTATTCATACAAATCCTTTGGCTTCTTTGAAAGGAAAGGAATTCTAGAGTTTTCTCACATAAAGAAGTCTACCTCTGCTTGGAGTGCTTGGAATAGGGTTTTTTTTTTTTTTTTTTTTTTTTTTTTTCCGTAATTACTCCATTGATGCCATCATCTTAGAATGGAAGGTCCATTTGTAATCCTTCCTTTGGAGAAGGGGATGCCTTATACCTTCGTCCCCTGGGTGGGTTGTTTTGTTGGCTATGGCCTTTTGAATGAATTTTCTCTGTTTCTTATTTTAAATAAATAAATAAAAGAGAGCACAAAAATGTAAAAAATCAGGTGCTTAAAAGACACCATGTAACAGCCCAAGCCCACCCACCGTTAACCGATATTGTTCTCTTTGGGCTTTCCCTTCCAGGCTTCCCCTCAAGGTTTTAATACGCGCTAAGGAGAGGTTTCCACACTCTTATAAGGAATGCTTCGTTCCCCTCTCCAACCAATATGGGATCTCACGATCCACCCCCCATTCGGGGCCCGGCGTCCTTGCTAGCACACCACCTGGCGTCCACCCCTTTCGGGGCTCAACGTCCTCACTGGGACACCGCCCAATGTCTGGCTCTGATACAATTTGTAAAAGCCCAAAACCCATCGCTAGAAGATATTGTCTTGTTTGGACTTTCCCTTCTAGGCTTCCCAAATGTGTCTGCTAGGGAGAGATTTCCACACTCTTACAAAAAAATGTTTTGTTCCCCTCTCCATTAACATATTAATTTCAAGAACTCCCTTCGGCTAAATAACAATTTTGACTTCGAAGTACCATGGATCATATGCTAAAACTAGGACGAACAAATCAGGGAGATTCGTTCTCAAGTTCCAACTTCAATTTAGGCATTCATGCAGACACACCGTTGACTCTGACCATTGACAAAGATGTAAAGATCTTGCTATATGAGTTACCTGTATGACATTAACAGCTTGCTTCACTGCCCATCCGAACAAGCTAATTACGACCAAAAGTGAGAGGAATGTCTTTTGTTGTATTGAATGTAATATAATCTGAAGAAAAAAAAAAAGTACCAAGTTCAAACCACTGGGATATTGTCCTACCAACAACATAAAATTAATACACCAACGACAAACTATACTTACATCCATCAAATTCTCAGTATGCTTCTCCGCCAGAAGAAATAGAATAATGTAAAGAACCTACAGATGGAAAATGGGGATTGAGTGTTTAAAACCCATTTGATAACTATTTGGTTTTTAATTTTTTGGATTTTGAAAATTGTGCTCGTTTTCTCATAATTTCTTTATCATGACCTTCATTTTTCTTAGGGAAGCATTTGAATTCTTAGCACAGATCCAAAAACAGAAGCAAGTTTTTAAAACTACTTTCTTTAGTATAAAAAATTTGTATGAATGTTGAAAACATGGCTAGATAATAGCTAATTAGTGTTTATAAGCTTAATTTTATAGAGCCTAAACAACATAATTTGAAATTACCTCGCATGACACACAACAGTAAGCCATAAATGTCCTATTTCCATAATATGCCTTAAACAGCCAATTGGTGCTGTCTTTGACATCTTTATGACTGGTTTTGCCTATCAAAAAGGTACTGAGGTAATAGTAAACCAAGAAAAAATCAGAGATGGAGCAATATAATTGTGCGTAGTGAAGGAAAAAATGGACACGTGATCAAGAAAAATAAAAAATATATATAATACCTGTACATCTGAAGCCAGTGGCTAGCAATATCCAAGGCAAGCAATGATAAGAAAGTCAAACCAGGCCTGCATTACAACCCTCTATTACATTAAAATATTGATTACACAAATAGCCCAAGCTCACCGGTAGCAAATATAGTCCTCTTTGGGCTTGCCCATTTAGGCTTCCCCTCAAGGTTTTTAAGACGCGTCTGCTAGGGAGAAGTATCCACACCCTTAACACCATTATAAGAAATGTTTCGTTCCCCTCTCCAATCGATGTGGGACCCCCCCTTCGTTCTTACTGGCACACCGCATGGTGTCCACTCCCCTCGGGGGCTCAGCCTCCTGCTGGCACATCGTTTGGTGTTTGGCTCTGATACCATTTGTAACGGTCCAATCCCACCACTAGTAGATATTGTCCTCTTTGGGCTTTTCCTTTCGGACTTCCCCTCAAAGTTTTTAAAACGCATCTGCTAGGAAGAGGTTTCCACACCCTTAAAAAGAATTCGTTCTCCTCCCCAACCGATGTGGGATCTCACATTATTAGTCTTTGAAAAATCGGCTGGAACTAGAAAAAAATATTACACATATATATAAATATAAATCCTTACCTGTATACTTGGGATAGAATTACTAGTAGACCAGCAGTGCTAATCCTGTGATACAGCAGATTCTGATCAAAATTGTCAATCAAGGGCAAGGTTGTGTGCCTTGAAAGGCTTGATATCAATATAAGTTATAATAACAAGCATAAAAAATCCAGTAGTATACTCCATTTCCATATTTTAAACGCCAATATAGTAATGAATACAAAGGTTAAAGAAGATTGTACCGGTCTGTTAACATGTCCAGCACAGCCCCAAAGGTGGAAACTGAATCATTCAAGAAAAAATATTTCATTTTACAGATAATTGTCCAACCTTATCGACTATAATAGTTGAAGTTATTGAAGGCAATTGAAGCATCCTGTCAATAAAAATGTACATAGGGCTCCCCAGAATAGTTTTCTTCCGAAAAACATATGGTTCAATGCTAGAATAAGGCACACTGGGAAGTCATTAAGCACAATTAAAGTGCTCAACAATGGGTACCATAGAATTATAAACATTCAATTCTGTTCAAACCCATAATAGCCAAGATGAACATTGGCAAGAACCAGAGGATTGCATCTAATATATATTTTTCGACAAGTATTTGCTCGTATGTGCACATAGCACACAAAACACGAACAGGGTAATTATGTACCTTGATTGAATTTGCGAGCACACCAACCATCTACACCATCGCATACAAAGCTGAAAACATGAGTTTCATCAATAAAATCATGTCCAGTTTCCCCCCAATCATGCATAAAGATATTGCTGGAAAAGAAAAGGGGATCTGAGAAATTAAGCACTCACCTGACAAAATAAAGGACAGAGAAAATTATTTTATTTGAGAAGCATAGAGCAAAGGCAACAATGTTCATGAGAACCCTTATATAACCTGCATTTCAGTTCAGAAATTATTTTCAAAATCACGTATGGGCAGGAGCAGGACTTTCAAGAGATAAATTTACTACCCACCAATAATATTGGGAACGTAAAGGTACACGGACATTTTACTCTGTTTCCGCACCAACTTATCAGCCATGGAAGCTTCTCTAGTTCAAAACTGAGTCAGATGAATTTCTCTATAAATCAATTTATATCTCCTGCATCCATCGCATATATCCATGATTAAATATTATCCAAAATCCGTATAAACATTCAAAAACATTAATCCAATGAAACGAGAAAGATGAAGTAGATACGCAAAACAGGGGAGGAAGAGACCCCAATGGGAAAATCTGGTCGGACTGTAGATCAAAACCCCTTCGCTGGCTGACAACCCTTTAGATAATTTACACGGATTCTGCGCATGACAAGGGAGCAAAGCAACGGAATAACTGCAATGCTAAAGCAAAAACAGAGAGCATTAGATTAAGCGAAGCTTGACAAAGATCAGGGACAAAATGGGGTCAATCCATATAAGGAATCTGGGGGCGGGGCGGGAGGAAGTGGTGTAATTAGGAGAAGAAGAGGGAATGATGATCATGATCATCATCAATGGAGGCAAAATCAAAGGAATTAGAAATGAAAGGTTCAATCGTACCAGTCGGAAGAGGAGAAAGAAAAGAATCAATGGCGAGGAAGAGGGAAAAGCCTGCAAAACTGAGAAGGGTAGTTGAGAAATGGAGACCAACTTGATGGGAACGTGACTAGTCGGGCTCCAATGGCGGTAATTTGCACATGAGAACCTTGAATCTGACACCCACAGAGATACAGAGAGATGAGTTGCAGAGAAAGGGGACTGAAATCAAACTAAAAATTAGGGTTATTGTGGATTATTATTATTTATTAATTAATTAATTAATATTAAAATTTGAATTTTTATAAATTAAGCTTATAAAATATTACTGCATTTACATTTAAATTTTATCTAATAAAAATTATCTATTAAAATTTTAAAATAAATAGTTTATACATTTTTTTTCTTTCAGTTTTTGTTAAGTTTTATTTATATTGTATTTTGTATTTTATTTGTTTATATTATATTTTCCTTTTCTTTGTAAGTTATATATATATATATATATATATATATATATATATATATATATATATATATATATATTTTTTTTTTTTTTTTATTTATATTTTTGGTTTACTTTGTGCTATATTTTATTTTTGAGATTGTGGCAATATTATAATATAGTTTTTAATTCATTATTTTCAAGTTTATATTTATTATATATACAACCTTCATACTCCACATATTTGGCTTTTAATTATTATCATACAAACCTATTAATTTCTTTTATAAGAAAACTTAGTTTTATAATTTTAGAAAAAATTACAATATATTTTTTAAAAAAAAGTATCGGCTAATAATAAAATAATATGATATCCATATTTATATTTTAATTCTTACTTCATTTTGAAACAAATAAATTTGGTGGTGAGAAAAATAAAATTTTAAAAATTGATAGGGTTAAATCTTTAACCCTATTGTATAGTTTTATATCTAATAAATGTATTAATTTTAAAAAATAAATATATCTAAAATTGAAAAATTATAATTTAAAGATTTTGAGGTCGGAATAATATATATATTCATGTGTTAAAAAATGCATTTTGAATGGCAAGTCATAATTTTATGAAAAAATAAAATAAATAAGTATACTCTAAACTTACTTTCCAACAAAAGAAATATAATATAAAATGATATAATTTTTTGACTTTAAATGATCCTATTTTTAATTTGAAAACTTTCCAAATTGGAACTAAGAATCATATTTGAAATATTGATTTTATATGAACCATTGTAGTTCTCACATTTACCTGAAACAAGTTTGTTATGAAAAGCATGAGATTGCTGTGCTGATATGTGCAAACAAATGTGAGAATCAAGACATTTTAAGGAAGAAAACAAAAGTTAAATCTGTGAATTTATTGAACATTATTCTCATGTTATTATACACTAAAAGTCATAAATCTGGTTGTGAAATCAAGGCATGTTTTAAGAGAAACAGCAATGAAATGAGTCAAATCAGCCGAAATGGAGGAAGCTAAACGGAAGAAGTAACAAACAAAGAATAATCCAGCAAAAGTTTATTGGATGCTTTTCTGTGTAGTTTGATTCCGAAAAAGAAAAATCAATTACAGCTTGTTCAATGAAAAATCAGAAAAATGGAAAAACGGATATAATTCCAAAATCCAACCAAAAAAGTGAGGTTTGAAATTGAGACGGTTTCTGTGCGTCTTTACCTTTTTCGCGGATTATTTGCCTAGGAAATCACAGCCTCTATGCTGGCCTTCTTCGTCGCGTTGCAGACGGGGCAAAATTCGAGAGCACTCGCGCATGACTTACATGAACACAGGTGCCTGCAAGGCAACAACAGCACGCACGAAATCCGAGAGTTGCAGATTTGGCAAATCAACATCATCTTCTTCCTCTTTTTATTATTTCCGAAATCACTGGCGTCGTCTTCTCCGATTCTGACGTTGTTGTTGCTGGACTCGGCGTCGTTCGCGCTGGCTAAAAGCTTCTCTCTCATTTCATCCAGCGCCTGACTAAGCGACGCTACCATCGCTTGATTCTCTTCTACTGCTCTCTTCCGCATTTGATTCTCCATTTCTAATTTCTTCAATAGTTGTTCAAGTTGGATCGTCCTCATGTTCGTGCTAGCGATCTCTTCGTCCTTCTGCTGAAACAGGACGCGCGTTCTGTTTTCGATCTGGTTCAGCAACACTCTAATTTGTTGATTAATCTTGTGTTGCAGGAGTAATCTAAATCTTTCACTCTGTTTCAATAAAGAAAACAAAAGATTCAAGAAACAATAAAACAGCAAATCATAAGAAAAACACACAACAACTACGAACTTCCTTCCAAGAAACAAAAATTCGAAGAGAAATCGAAGTACAGACCTCCAGTCGAATGAAACGATCAATCTGATCCACGGACATTTCCGGCACAAAATTATCTATCCGAGAATCAGATTTACTCCAACACTCCTGCGAAAGAAGAAGACTCGACTGGCCGTTTCCTAGTTGAAGATGACGATGAAACTCAGCAGCAGAATCCAATGGACGGCCAAAATTCCGCTGCTGCAACTGCAATTGAATGGCCATTCCAAATTTGAGAAACGCAAACAGTCGGATTCCTTGGTTGATTCAAAGCAACAAACAATTTAGTACATAACCTTGCATCCGGCGCGGTTCTCACGAATCCATACGGTGGTTCTCACGAATCTCGTCTCAGAATTGGGGGCGAATTATAACGTTTCCAAGGACGCTAACAGAAGATAGTGCCTCTCGTACACCGTGCAGATACATATAATTGTGTATATTTATAGTCACAGAATAAAATAAATAAATAAATAAATAAATAAATAAATAAATAAATTCCAAATTGGGAGTTTATTTAGGGCCGCGGTAAACGCCCAGGAGTTCATGCAGATATGGTGAGTAAACAATAATTTAGTAGTTGGAATTTATTCAATATTTTTTAATTTTAAAATTATTTTAAAATAATCAAATTAACAGAAAATTATAATTTAAACCAATTATTATTATTTTTTATTTATAAAGTTGGGATAAATTTTAATTAATTTTTATTTTTTAATAATATGCACACCAAATTTATTTTTCCCACTTGCCTCATTTTAAAATTCCTAAATATTAGGATCCATTTTTAATGTTTTTTATCCTTTTTTTTTCGTCAACTCTAAATAAATATATGATTGTGACCTTCATAAATCTTTTTTTTATTTATTTATTTAACATATTTGTTGAATTTCGCTAAATTAATAAAAATAATAAAAGTTTTGTTCGAATATTCTTAATTAAAAATATTTTAAAACTTTTATTAATACCTAAATTTTAAAAACTTTCAATTTATCAATAAAAGTTTTTTAATTTAATAATATGAATGGAAGGTTAGTAACAAATTCCAAATATATCACTAAACTTTTGAAAAAAAAGTGACATCATTAATAATTTTCTAATTTTCTTTATGTTAATATTATATAAAAAATAATTTAAATTAATAATATCAATTTGTTTATTAGTAAACTGATGTGTATTTTAATTTTGTTAGGTTAAAATATTATTTTGAGTTTATCTGTATTTTAAATTTAATTATAAAAATTAATAAAAAAAAACATTTTTTTAGCAATGATTTTCATAGTCTTTATCTTCAATTTTGACTTCCCAACTAAGGAAAAAAAATTATCACGTTTTTTTCCCAAAAAAATTTATTTATATTTTATTTAATTTTAAAATGATTTTGAATTAATAGAAAAAAGAAAATTAATTAAATTAATTGAAAATAAGTTTATATAATTAATGTTAGAAATTTACTTTTTTTTTTTAAATGTTTTTAAACAAATAAAAGACCTTTGGGAAAAAAAGCCACAAACTTGTTCTTATTGTAGACGACACTCCCACCAGATTGTACGGCTTGCATTAGTACCCAAATTGCCTATTACTTTTCAATATTTTTAAAATTTTATAAATATTTTATTACCACAGTACTATATTTTGAATTTTTCTTTCTTAATTTTTTTTATTTAAGAATATTAATAAAAAAATCTATACGCACCGAGTTCAAAGATTTTTTTGAAACAAAATACTAATGGTTTGACTATTCATATTAGCTCGGGTTGAATCGGGTTCAATTTATTGTGATATTTTTTATTAAAAAAAAGAGTAAAAAATCTTTAAAAATTTATTAACTGAAAAGGAAATTAAGTCTGGAATAAATCTCTTATGCATACTGAAAATGTTGGAAGAGATTCAAATTGCACCCCAAAATAACAACAGAGCCAAAGCATTAAGCCTTAAGCAATCTCCTCTGAAGCTCACCTATGATGTTGAGATTTAGAAAAACAGTACCCACAAAAGCTATAGTGGAAGTGATTTTACTTCATGACTCCTCAAAATGGATGCTCGGAATGGCGAACCCGGGTCGAAATGGAGGATGCTCGGAATGCATGTGACAAAAGTGCTCGGTTCGTACCTTTCGTCTTAGACTGTACATGCTACTCGAAGTTGTCTTGCACGTTGAACGAGCAGAATTAAGTTTCCTTCAGGTGTTTTGAAATCCTGCCATTTCCTAGTTCTGTAATTCCAATGATCCATGAATGTTTTTGCTAAAACCATTAACAATATAACACCTCTCAAACTCATAGCTAATATGTGTGTGTGGCTATCTTAAACTATGAAGGTGGATGATTGTACCCTCATTTTCTTGATTTCCGTACCAACTCAAGCCCTCCGCTAGTAAATATTATCCTCTTTGGACTTTCTCTCTGGGTACTTCAACTCAAAGGTTTTTAAAACGTGTATGCTAGGGAGAGGTTTCCACACTCTTATAAACAATGTTTCGTTCTCCAATCGATGTCATTCCCCTCTCCAATCAATGTGACATCTCACAATCCACTTTCTTTCGAGGCGGTATTTGGCTCTGATACCATTTGTAACCTCTTCCTAGTAGACACATTTTAAAAATTTTGAGGGGAAGTCCGAAAGGAAAAGACCAAATAGGACAATATCTAATAGCGGTGGAGTTGGACGGTTGCTCTGACTATCTCAAACAACCTAGAAAGAGGGTGAAAGGGTTGTGGAAGATAAAAACCTCAAAAGATAATGTTGATGCTGCACTGAACAGAAGAACAGGAATGGACGTGGGGCAGGCCTATATACACAAAAGGATGCATATACTATTCGAGCTCAGCTCTTCGCATTTTTCGTCGCCTTATGGACCCCTAAATGAATCATGAGCATCATATAACGTGTTGTTAGTAGCTGAAGACATAAACGGGCAGTCATCACGCTGTATCGAACTCATAAAACTCATGAATAAATGTAAAAGAAAGGGAAACAAAACAAAGGAAAATACGATAGAGACGACAACTCATATCGTCGTTTTACTTATGGTATTGGAACATATACTAAAATTTTGCATCCGAACGCCCAACAAATGAAAGTTGTTCTACCAGCAAGAGTCTTGCAAGCTACATATGAAAAGAACCTAAGACGGTAGAGAGATCTTTGGGAGCAGTCCGATTTTTCTTTGAAAGGCAACATGAAGTTCAGGCTTTTATAACACATATACACCTGAGGTTAAGATGTGTTCATATACACATGTAATACATCGAGTAAAACAAAGAGTATACTCATAAATTGTCCAGAACTAAGATCTCATAGCTATTATATAATAAAATCGATCATTCATCAACGTATTTCGTTGCAACATCTATGCATTCCCTGTAACGCCCCAAGCCCACCACTAGCTGATATGTCCTCTTTAGGCTTTCCCTTCCGGACTTCCCTCAAGGTTTTAAAACGTGTCAGTTAAGAAGAGGTTTCCACACTTTTATAAATAATGTTTCGTTCCCCTCTCTAATCGATGTGGGACCCTCCGCCTCGTGTCCACCCCCTTCAGGACTCAGCCTCCTCACTGGCACATCGCCCGATGTGATACCATTTGTAACAGCCCAAGCCCACTCCTAGCATATATTGTTCTCTTTGGGCTTTTCCTTTCGGGGTTTCCCTCAAGATTTTTAAAACACTGTCTGCTAGGGAGAGGTTTCCACACCCTTATAAAGAATGATTCGTTCACCTCTCCAACTAACGTGGGATCTCACATTCCCATAAAACAAAACCATCTCTACGCATCTACGTGATACTAATTTGCAAATATGTGACAGAAATCGACTTACCAGTGGACCGTTTTCTTAAACTACAATTTTTATTCTTGTAAGTTCCCAAGAAACTAAAGAGTAGAGTAAGTCAGAAACACTGATATCTATCAACTGAACTACCCTACACTGCACCAATCATAAAACTAAAACAATTAAAAGCTAAATGCTCTGGTTTTACCTTTCTTCTGGTTTAATTCACAGTCCGGAAGTTCGTTTGCTCCTGTGTTTTGATTGGCCAAGCACTCGAGATTTCCGATGTCACACGCACTAAAACTATGCCCGTTCAACAAAACGCTCTCTCCACTTTTTCCATCGGTCCCTGCATTAAGGCAATACGGCTGATCGTTGCATTGAACATTACATGGATTTATCACATAACTTCCAGGTGCATTTTGGTTGAGAAGATTTGAATTGGCTGGTTTATGATATGGAAAGCTTCCAATCTCCCCTTCAATTCTTCCTCGAATATCCACAAGCAAACATTTGAGCCTAGAAATCTCAGCCTCCAATGCAGCCTGGCCTTGCAATCTCTTCAACAGTTGCTGATTCAGGGCCGTCAATCTCATAACTTCATCTTCCAATGATGCAGCCCTCGCCTTTTTCTTCTCCCGGTATTTACGAACTGCTTCGCGGTTACCTAGCGAGCGTTTCTTAGTCTTCTTATCCACAGACTCCGCTGTGTCGTCAGTGGAAACCTTGTCTTCGGTCGGGGAAGAGACAACTTTAGTATGGACATGAAAACAGGTGTGTGTATGTGAATAATCAGGACCAGAAGGATTGCAAGTATGAGCGTGTGTGCAAGCATGAGTGTCCTTTAAAATTTCATCCAAGAAGGTATCCATTGAGCAACTGTTCGGAAGCTCTACGGCATTCGAACTCGAAAACACTTCTGGATTTGAGGATTCAAGCTCGCCTTCTTCCATTAAAGATATGAAACTTTAATGAAAAACCACTTCAAGACAGCAATTCCAAGGAGAAACTACGATTATGAGCCCTATGATTCGAACGGAGATCCTAAACAATTAGATAAACAGGGTTTCAGCACAACTCAATCAGCAGAACAACAAACCAACGATAGAACAAGAACCAGAAATGAAGAACAAACCGACAGGAACACTAATTTTGCTTCGAATTTCAGAAGAACAATCCGATAAGTGACGAATTTCAAACATCCAGTGGCGAATTTCAATTGATAATAATTAGGAGAACAATCAAAAACATGAAAAAGAAAGAAAACCCAATAATCAAAACCTAAAACCCAATCAACGAGTGACAACAGAAGGGTGAAGAATCATGGAGGCGATTCGATAATCGTAAAGAAAGCGACAGAGAATAGGATACGAAACCTTTAGAGAGATGCCGGAATTTCAAACTCGGATCATAGAAATGAAGAAGGAATGTATGAGAGGACTGAGAAACAGCTTTTCCGGGCCTGAAAAGTCAAGGAAATGGGCATGTGAGAGTGATTCAAAGCCATTTATAGGGTCGTAGAGGAACTGGAGCAGGTTTGTGGGAGAATCTAGCCGCGTTTGGTGGTTCTTAGCTTTCTTACGACTAAATATCATTGTGGGTCCAATTATAATCGTCTTTCCCCACCTAAACTGATCCCTTTTTTGTGTTCGGTTCATACGATCTCCCTTTTTCTTCCTCCAAAAAGCCTCTTCTTCTCTAAATTTATCCTCTTTTTTCAACTCCCTCTTTCAAACACTACTTTCTTTCGAGTCTATGGCGGGTACTAAAAACGTCGAGAGTCAATTCACTCCTTCGAAATCCAACGTCCTTGCTTGAATCTCATCATGAATTTACGTCCTTAAGAATGTGAAATCTCATCTCATATCTACTCTTCAATATCCTTGATGGCTTACTGCTCAATTACCCTCTATCTCACATCCACCCGTTAGTGTTCTTATTGGCTCACTGTCCAATTACCCTTTTCAGCTAACGTGGGATCTCACAGTCCACCCTCCACAATAGTATGATCTTAATATTGTCCACTTTCAGTATAAGTTCTGATGACTTAATTCATGATCTTCCTCTTAATTAGTCGACCACAGACTCCTCTCCCAACAATTCTCAAAACTATCTGATATATATAAATTCACATAACGGGGAGAACGAGACGTTTGAATCTCAAACCAGGTTAGAGAGAAAAAGTTTTTAAGGATAATTATTCTTATTCTTTTAAAATTTTTAATTAAATAAAAAAATATTTAATTTTAAAAATTTGTATGTATTAATTACGTGTGAGACTATCCAAAAACAACATATGTAAAATATTTTATTTTTATTTAAGATCACTTTCTAATTAAAAAATAAAAAATCATATGCACAAGCCATGCCAATTAAAATTTGGTTGACATACATTAAAAAAAAATAAAAAAAAAAATCAATAAATTATGTTATTTTAAAATTACTAAAATATAGAAATTGGAGGAAAGAAAAATAAATTAGAAAATTAGAAAATTAAAAACTAAGTCTTTATTAAACGAATTTTTAATTAAAAAAAAATCGATTTCAACAATAATTGAAAAATTCAAACTTTTTAATAATTATAGTTGGATTGTGATTATTATCTGAATAATTCATTTATTTAAAATTATTGGTTTGACTTTTTTGGATTGAGTATTAATAGGATTTTACGGTTTTACCCACACTAGAATTTGACTAGAAATAGTAAAAGCTGACTTTAATATTATATATATAATTAATTATTTTTTTATTAAAAATGTTCACCATTTTAAACATTTAACAAGTTTTTGCTTCAAAAAGCCTTTAAAAAAATGTTTTTTTTTTTTTTTTTATGTTTTTAATGAAACTATAATACATAGGTAAAAAATATGAAATTAATAAAATTTAGAAAAAAAACAAACTTACAATTTTGTTCTTTAATTTATGATTTTGGCAGAGTTATTCATTGATTAATCTTAATTATTTTTGTTCAAAATTTTATTTTATTGAAATTAATTAGTTTATGATTTTTTCTTTGTGCCAAATTAGCAAAAATAAAATAAGATAAAAGAAAAAAATATATTTCATGAAATAACAATTCATTAATAATAATAATAATAATAATATATAGTTCATGTTTATAATGTTTTTTAATATGCATATTCAATGCCCAAAATCGAGATGAGAACGATTTTCCCTTTTTCACACGTCCCCATTTATGACTATATTATTTTTAATTTCATAATCATAGTTTCTTTCATTATCGGAGACATTCTCCATTAAAAAAAATTGTCGAAAAAAATTTTAATTTAAGGGTATATATGTGTGTATGTATATATTTCAAAAAATAAAAAGTCAAAGTGGGGACGAGAACGGGAGGGAGACCATCTCCGTTTAACTAACTCGAAAAATTTTGTTCTTGTTTCCTCTCTAGTTCTCTGCCACGTAGATGGGAGATTACCCGCCGTCATTAGGGGCACCTCATCGGTCGATTTTCACACAAAATGGATATCTCTAAATGCGACACATTAGTCGAAAACGAAAAGGTAAAAAGAAAGATGGAAACAAGCATATCAGAAGGGGCAAGAAATTGTAAATATTTACAACTAAAGAAAAGAAAATATTTACAAATGTTAAGAAATCACCTCAGCAAAGGGTGCATCACAATTTTATTGTATAGAATATATGCCTAATTTACAGTCTAAAGAAGCTGGTTGAAGCTTGAGGATCTGCTCCATCTTGCTTTGAAATAATCTTCCAAACATACTCTTTTTCGCTGTTCCACACTGCTACATGAGTCGTCGTTGTCGTCGTCGTCATCAACACCGACCAATGCAAGGCTCAAATGCAGTTCAGAGCTTGAATTTGGATAAACTTCATCATCTCCATTCTCCACGCTTTGTGAATCCTCCATAAGGAAGCTTTCGGTTTTGGTTTTGGATTCGTTTTCGCTCTCCCCTCTTAGAATCTTCAATATCTGGAACGAAGGGCGTTCGTAAACGTCTTCGAGTAATGCAAACAACGTGGTTGGGTGAAACGAATCATGTTCAAAGCAGCAGTACCTGACTGATTCGAGGACGGAGTCGAGATGCCCTCGTGATGCAAAGCGTTGCTGCAAGAACCATTCTTTGCAACTGTTCGTCATTGACTTTCCCCTCCAAATTTGGATCAACTATTTCCTTTACATTGCCACTCTCTATCATTGGCTTGGCCTGGCATATAATCATAAAGCATGTTCTTAATCCTTGTATGCATACAGTATCAAAATATTTTAACCAAGTCTTACCCACATAACCAAGCTCTGCTGCTCTTTCGATGTCTCTGCGTCAATTGCTCTTCGTCCCGACAACAATTCAAGTAGAACGATACCGAAGGCATACACATCAATCTTATTGCTCATTTTTCCATACATGAAATATTCAGGAGCAAGATATCCAAACGTTCCCACGACATCAGCTTCGATCCGAAAGGATGATTCTGTTGGTCCCCAGGTTGCAAGCCCAAAATCTGATAACTGTTATATAGAGCCTCAGTTAGGAATAAACGAGCAAAATTCAAAGTCTCATCCGATCGGGATCTTGTAACGAATTACCTGTGGTCCGAGTTCATCAGTGAGCAGAATGTTTGATGTCTTCACATCTCTGTGTACAACAGGCTGAGGACATTCGTCGTGTAGGTAGTTTAGCGCTTCCGCTATTCCAATCGCAAACTCAAATCTTACCTCCCATGAAAGTATGCCTTTTTCTTTGTTTCTATCTAAATATCATATAATTTTCTTAGTACCATACTCCTGATCTGATAGTATTTGAAAATGTAAGATATTTAAGCCTTACCATATAAATTTTCCTCTAAACTTCCTTTGGAAAAGAAATCATAAACAGAGATCAACGTATCGTGTTCGATGCAGATACCGAGAAAGGGAGTTATGTTCTTGTGATGTAACGAGGATATAATGTCAACTTCTCGAGAAAAATCGTTCCATGCCTGTTTCGAAAAGTTCATTACCTTAACAGCTATTGGCTTACCATCTGGGAGAATTCCTTTGTATACACGATTGCAGCCGCCTTTCCCAATCAGATTTTCTGTTAAGAACAGCCAAATTCATGAGCCATGGACCCATCAGAAGGGCGAGAAAACAAATGAAAACATCGGTTTATAGCAAGGATGAGCTCGAACCTGAAGAGAAATGCGAAGTTGAAGCTTTCAACACATCAGGACTAAACCATTTATAACTAGATGAGATAGTTTTCAGGAGATCCTCCAGGTTTCCTGGTGGTTCAGAAAAGGCAGATAAACCCGAGATCTCCCTTCTTGATGGATCATTTCCTTTTATGCTTAAGCTATGATACGGGGAACGATCAGGTAAGTTCATCACCCATTGCACTACAGACATGTTATGTACACATGGGGTTTGCGGAATCCTTGGAGACGTTCGAAGCAATGGCCATCCAAGCCCCGGCTCGGAATTCACCTTCTTCATTGGAGAATCTTGTTTGGAACAGACCCTTTTACTTTCAAGAACAACTCCATGAAATTCATACTTCAAGTCTTCACTACCAACCCCAAAAGAAACAGATTTCTCAGTCTCAGAGCCATCATAGTCAGATTGGCTAGCTTGACTTAAACTTGGTTTTGGGTCTAGATTCAACCCTGTCATGTTACAGTCAAATATATGACTAACTCTACCTTTTGTTCTTCAAAAATAAATAAAAGTCCATCAAAGAGCAGCAAACCTGGTAGTTGATCATTGGTGGATCTTCTGAAGACAATTTTTCCATTGTTGAGAGCCAAAACATCGGTCGTTCGAGGCAGTCGCTTAACAGCGTATCTAATTGTTGAAGACCAACCCCTGCAAATGGCTTCTGTTAAGATCAACTCAAGAAACAAACCAAAAGGCTATTCAGTGAATTCCCTACCCAAGATTAGATGGTTTGCTTGTTCCCAAAACCACAGCCCCGGCGGCATAGCTTTTCGCCTGTCTAACCAAAGTCTTCTTAACCGAACTTCCAGTCAATATCTGAGCAATCAGAGCTACCTAATACAAGAATCCAAGAAAATAATCAGTACCCAAAACTTAAGTTCATCCATAGCATCCATAGAGTGCAAGAAATTCCAAACCAAACCTTGTTTACATCACAAAGCCTTTTGTATCCTTCTATGAATTCATCAAATAAGGGCTTATCTTTTGATGCACGGTCTGTTTGGCAAGAGGGAAAAATCATATGAAACTGTGCATCATACAAGTGAATGTAAAGAGTTAAAACTAGAGAAGAACAATGAAAACCCACCAGAAGTTTGACAAACATGGATTACAATAACACAATCCCCAGGATCAGCAACTTTAACAATCGCCCAATTGAGCAAATCTCTGCTATTGCCATTTATCCTAATCCCCACTAACACATTCTTCTTCCTCTTCTTCTTTTCGATTGCCTCAGAATCCTCATGATCAACAGTCATTTCGTTTCCTCAAAACCCCACAGATTTTGAATCTTCTTCGATTTGCAGGGCTTCAGCAGGTAACCACTGATTGGGAGACTCCCCACTTTTTAAACCCTCCACCATTTCACTCTCTACCACCAAAATCGACCAACAAAAGAATCAGAAAGCTAAATCCACCCATAGAAAAAGAAGGTAGCTATAAGTATTTAAAAACAAGCATCGACCCATTGGCCCATCCAAAAAGCTACCATTAAACAGGAAATAAAAAACCTAAATGAGAAATTAGAACAATAATTTGCATAAGAATCATGAAGAAGATAAACAGAAGCCGACAAATGGGTTGTACCTAAAACTTGAAAGGGTTGGTCGACGAAGCTCAGCATGACTTTAAACACCGATTTTGCGGATTAATGAAATCGAAGGGTGTAAGGTAGTGCGGCCAAGTAATGGGGAGAATCAGAGAGAGGATAAGGAAGTTTGAAAAGGAAGGGAAGTTAGGGCACTAAAATTGTCGTAAAAGACAATAAATTAAGGTCGGGTGACGTCAAGGATGGATGAAGGAAATGGGGGTTTTGAGTGCTTTTTTGTTTAAATTAGTTGAGGAAGCGAAAAGGGAAGAAGAGATGAAGTTTGGGGGAAGAAAATGTCGGCAAGAGAGAGAAAGTTAGAGAGAGAGAGAGAGAGTTGCAGAGAATTTTGAAGGAATTGAAAAGGAAGATAGGTATTTTTGATTGATTGATTTCTTGATTCCTTCCATTTTTTATTTATTTTTATGACAGTTAAAAGGGAAACTGGAAGTTTTCGCGGGAAACCTATGGTATCCGGTAATTTTGCGTGGTCCACCAAAAGCGGAATTCAAGTTTTCCACCGGTTGTTGCGGGTTGCCATACCTGACCGTTGCCCGTACTACATGCAAACAAGATCGTCAAGGAAAAGTGTTTTTTTTTTTTTTTTTTATTGAAAAAACATTGTAACTATTTTTCTGAGGTTTTTTAGATTTTATCTAATCATTATAGAATAAATTAAAAAATTACGATATCATAAGAAATCATAATCAATGGAGTCGTATAAGTCACCAAAAGAAATCATAAGATTTCCTTTGAAAGGACTCGTTTGACATTGATAAAGGTATGACTTTGATACGATTAGAAACAACAAATTTTTACATTGTTGTTGTTTTATCCGGTTTGATATAGTATCTCTTACTTATATACTTGAATTTTTCTTGTTGGAATTCTTCACGACAATTTTTTAAACTACAAGTTTAGTATTTCTAAGCTTTTTAAAATAATGAAGTACTCAATTTTGGGTGGACTCACAACGATAAACCTTATCTTTTCTTCCATTGGATTGTTAGGTCGTTTATTAATGAGAATAGTACATCAAATATAGTTGTTAGGCAATTGGTTCGTGAGAATAGTAGAGTTATAGCAAAACAACGTACCGAGCTAGAATCTGTTACATAAAAGATATCTAAACTCAAGAACAAATACTAGCATCATGCAAATTACGAATAGATGATATTAATCCACTTTCAAAATATTATAGCATAACCGATAAGGTAGGTAAGCATCGAGAATAAGATGTGAGATCTCATATAGGTTGGAAAGGGGAATGAAACATTCCTTATAAGCGCGTAAAAATCTATCCCTAGTAGACACATTTTGAAACATTGAAAAGAAAACCCAAAGAGAACAATATCTGATAGTTATTGATTTGGGCAATTAGACATCGAGTGATGTGTCAGCGAAGACAAAACATTCCTTAGAAAACTCTTCTTGGTAAAAGCGTTTTAAAATCATGAGATTGATGACTATACGTAACGAGTCAAAGCGAAAAACATTTACTAGCGGTAAACTTAAGCTAAGCTGAAATTGCACAATAGACCCTAAAACTCTAGGATCCACTGAAACAAAATGTAAAGTACACAAAACTTAATAAAGAAATACGCACACTCAGTTTAGAAAGCACAAAAAACTGAAATTCATCACTCAACCAAATTATAATGGTCTAAGTCCACCGCTAGCAAATATTGTCCTATTTAAGTTCTCCCTTTCGAGTTTCTTCTCAAAGTTTTTAAAACGTATTTGTTAGAGAGGTTTTCACATCCTCATAAAAGGTGTTTTGTTCTCCTCTCTAACTAATGTAAGATCTCACAATCCACTCCTTTTAAAATCCAGCATCTTCTCTAGCTCTCTTTAATCGATATAGGATCTCACATGACTCCTCCGAGAACTAACTAAATGGCCCACATGTTACCCACATGTTAAGGCTACTTGTTAAGGCTTGAGTAGCTAACCGTAGGGAAGGTGCTGGTAGTGTGGGAGATACGCATACAAGTTTACCCAACAGCACCTATCACCCACCGTAACACAATTAATAAACCTGGAAACACTCATTTCTTCCTTCAAATCTCCGTTCAAAAGTCTCCGAATTCACGGACCATTTAATAAAAATGTTAAATTATATAAAATATTCCAATAAAGATCTCTACAGATTTATTTATTTATCAAAGCGAATAAGAAAATTCACACAGCTCTAAATAAGATTATCATTGTTAACCACTCATTCCTACTTCAAAAAGATAGATAATATCATCTATGACATAATTTACAAAAAAAAATCAATTTTTGTACATCAGCTACTATATCAATTTCTGTTGATGCTATCATAAAGTCGGGTCGTATCAATTTCAAGAAGAATATAAAGATCGTTCATTTCAACCTACTCAAAGACATTATTGATATAGTTTACAATATTAGACTAAAAATTGCAAGAACGTCTATATATTAAGTGGAAAAAAATAAAAGAGTATTTATATAGACAGCAAATATGACTCGAAATTGAATATAACTCAACTATAATTAACACGTACTATCTCGTACATTTCAATTCATTTAGAAAAACAGTTTTTCAACTAACTGTTATATTGGACTTCCTAATCGGACCACTGCATGAAAAACATGGGAAGGGGATAGACATTAAAAAAAAGAGATAGGTAGCACATCACATACCCCAATCATGTGCACGGATGACCATTCTTCCCACATTGGTTGTCGGCCATTCTAGCTTGTCCCTCCCAAACCACAGTGAGCCATGATTATTAATTAGTCGCTATACTTAAGCAGTCGAGCTTGAATCCTCCGTTTAGATCAGCCAACTGTCACCATCTTGTATCAGGATTGTAAGTATAAGCGTAAAAAATTGATGGGAATTAGCTCTTGTAAGAATCAAATCTCAAACTTTAATTTATAGGGTGAATGTAAGGTCGATGTCATCATCTGAACTAATATAATCCAACTCCACCATCTTTCCCATGTCTTTTGTGGTTTTGTCTGCCGGAGCATGGCTCGTTTTCTTTCTTTTTGGATCTTGTTGATTTTCAACTCCAGATGACTTCCTGAAAGATATGTTACAGATCTATAATGGCGTGGAAAGACGGTAACAGAAAACAACATAAGTAATGGATAGAATCTTACAAAATTGACGTCTTCTCTGAACTGATCCTCTGCTGACTTTGTCTGGAAAGTTCTTTATTTCCACTTTTATCAGTCATTTTCCCTGCAATTGGAAAATGTCTCAAAAGAAACTCTATGAATCTTCAGGGCATGCACGTAAAGGTTATGATCTCTAACCTGTGATCTCGGCAAGGAATCTTTTCCCTTGTGAGTGTACATTGGTGGTCACATTATCTGCATTGCTGTTCATAGGAATAGATTAAATCAGTCAAAACAAGAACACAACAATAAAATAACTGATACTCCTTAAGCATTCAAGAATCCGTCTTTGTTAGTCCGTTTGCAGAAGATAAGTGTTTTGAAATTGGAAAACTAGACCAAAATGGAGTCAAATGGCTTGTGACTTAATACCAATTGAACCCAAGAGGGCTTATAGTGCACAGATAAATGACCACACTCACCCACATTTCATTAATAAATGGCTTAACTTCAATTGTAACAAAAGAACGATGGAAAATGCATTACACAGTTTTAGAATGCTACATTACCCCCAATTAAAATTCACGATAATGACCAAGTGATTACAATAAAATAAGCTTCAAGCACACAGTTCTTCCCCTATTTTCACTCCACCTACCAGTCAAGTTCATATCCTGAATGAAAAATGAGTTCAAGAGTATGTTTTAACATCTAACGAATAAAAAAGAGATTGTTATAGGCATTAATTAAATCTGTAGAAAGTTATCTGATTGGAATTCGCTCACTATTAAAAATGAAATAGACTACATAAATTGAAACTAAAAAAGAAAAGGGGTTATCTACCCTGACAATATAGGGTGAAGCGTTGCAAGTATCTTACATTTACCCATAATCCTAGTTAAGTTTCACCTGAAGAAATGGCGGTATGTAACAGGCTCATGAAATTAAAGATAACAGCCGCCCACTTCTAGAAAATCTTAAATTCTTCTCAAATTGCTTTTGTTCGAATAAATTATAAAAATGAGTGATATGTCTTCTACAAACCTCAATGCCTTTTTCAGGCCTTCCACAGACAACAGTTTTGCTGGCGACGCTCGATGTTTAGAATTCACTTTACCGACTAGCGGATTTACCATGTAAACTCCTTCTGCCTTGAGATGATGATCTCTGAATGCAGTCCTCAGATTCCTGTACTCGAAAAATAAAACAAATAAGAAACAGAAACGAGTGTAAAAGAAAGTAATATCATGTTCGTGTCATTGCTCTCTCACCCTCCTTTGAGCTCAGTTCGTATGGTGGTGGAATATTTTTCTGATGCCTTCTGTAAGAAAACAATAGAGAGAACTGTATCAGTTAGATATGCTTTCAAAATCCGCATGCACAACAACATTAGCATATTGAGCAAACTAATACTTACTGATTTATGATATTTACAGTATATGCCACGTCGCCTGAGTAATAAAATAATTCATCAGAACTTCCAAAATATGAATTGCAAAAACATGAAATTATGAGAAATGGGCCTGTTACTTTGGAGAAACAATATATATTAATTCAGGAAGAAACGAAACCACATAAGAAATTTAAGCTAACAAAGTTAGACTACATGCGTTCTTGACTTTGTAAACAAGAATCCCTACAGCAAACATCAGTTTATATCATAGTACTAATGATTCAAGGGTTGACAAATTTCATCACAAAAATAATCATGGTCATGTCAAAACAAGATTTAGGGGGAAGAAAACCACTGTGATCATGTCAACTAAATAGTATTGTAAGTATCTTTAAAGACGAGTATCAATGAACAAAAAGACCGTGTCGAATAGTTCCCTTGATTTTATGATCTGGCTCGTAACTTCTCTTAAAATAATATAGTCAGGTATTCCAGCCAAAGGATTTATCCAACAATGAATTGATTGTCTCGTTTGTCAATAAGCGGAAAAGGCCATAACTGATGGGCTTGTTGCAGGAATATGCTTTTGACACATTAGAGAAATTATATAATTAATAGTAGAAAAGCTCAGTCCAATGGATCACAACATTGTCAAGAAATTTCTTCATCCCTCGGCTCCTGTCCACACGTATAAATATTTATGCACACGGAAGTCCCGAGTCTCATTCAATCATATCAGTTCACTGAAGACAAGAGGAGCTATTATGTAAGATAATTGAGTAATTTTCATGACAAACCTATTTATTACTGTTGTACAAGCCATCCCATCCTTCTTCTTGCCCTTGCATACTCCATAGTCATCTGAAGTGCCCATCTTTAACAACTGGCTTGATTGATACACACTTAAAGAAAACCCCATGCCCTGAAATACGAAATGGAAGTGGGTAATTCATGAACTACAACACGTATCTACGGTATAGAATAATATTTTAGTTGGTACCATTGCATCCTTGCGTACTGTAGAGTTAAACACTGCAAAAACTGTTCCAGCCAGCTCCTTGCAATTTCTTTTATATGCATCACCAAATAAGAAAACAGAAACAGCGTTTTCATCCAAACAACTAAGTTTCCAAATGCAGTAAGCTTTCCCTGTAGAGCTTGTCTTTGGGCTCCCTTTCTCAGTCAACACTCCTACAGTTACCCAACAGCCTGAAAGGGTGTCCCCAACCAACAGATTCCTGAAAATTTAACGAACAAATGAACTTGTTTGACAAATATTATGCAAAGTAGAAGTTCTCAAAATCTATTTCCCAAATGCAAGATGCTAACTAATAGACTTTAGATGTCTTTTAATCAATCTCAATGAAGTTTAAGAAATTCCTTTAAACCTTCTGCACATAAATTTTCAACATCTTAAACTGAAAAATAGATAGACCATAGGCTAAAATTTGTCTCCATTCCTACATATATATACACAAATTTCTTTGCTACTTTCTAAATTCTCTGTCAAGATAACATTTCTTAAAATTGCAATTGCTTCCAAACTATGTAGTATACTTGTAATTACAAAAGATAGAGATAGAGATAGATAGATAGCGAGAAAGAGAGAGAGAGAGAGAGAGGAATTTGTCCTTGAATGACTTTAAAACTGGGTACTGAGTTCTTATCGAATTTAGTACTGAAGCATGTTAAAACTCGCAAACCGCATGCCTCCATTGAAATAGATGAAAAAAGCCAAATGTAAAACATAGAATTTATAGATTTAATTATTTACGCTTGGAAAAAGTCAGTCAACTAATTTTTCTTAAAAAATGTACAACATATTTACATTGTTGTATCAAATAGTCGATGCCTTCAAGATTGATGGAGTTCGTGTGATGATTAACCAGAAATAAATCATATCAGTCTTCCTAGAAGAAATCATTGCCATTACATTCTCTTACATGATATGAGGAAAAATAGAATAGCTGATCTAATGGAGCATGGGTAACATTCTCCTAGATGGTAAGCAAGTAACGCCGACAAATATAAAGAATGTGAAGTGAAATTACTTTATGGTAGACAAACGAACAAAGCGAATGTCAGAAAAACGATCGTGAAGCTCTACAGGTCCTACCAGTTGATTCCTGAGATCAAAAAATTATAATAAAAAGTAAGGAAAAAAACATGTCAAGAAAATTACTCTATTCGTGCATGCTAAGCAGATCTTTAGATGAATATCTCCATTAGTTCTATCTTCTAAACAGTTATCGATAATCCTGAGGAGAAGAAAATTATGTGATATACTTCTAATAATTGAGCTCCTAGTGTCCTATAACTTTTATATAGAACTGAGCTGGACCATAATTCCAGTATAATATAACTTCAGGCAGCTCCTCTAAAATTCCCGTCAAGAAACCAGGAACGGAGTAGCCTCACCTGAAAAATCAGAGTACACAGTTTTGTAAACAAATCACTACACAGTACCTCACTCTCAAACCAGAGAACTTCTCGATTGTAACGTCGTCAGAGGCCTTAGACCGGTTTGTTTTTCCACTTTTCTCAGTTGGTATGTGAGCATAGTCAAGGCAATCTTTGACAGCGCTTCTAAAGATAGACATATCCGCATGACCCGCTCGTCTTGGTGATTCATTGTCGGAGAGTAAATCTACAATACAACAATAAAAAAAAACATATATTCAATACAAATGTTATTTTAGGAAAAGTAAGCATATAAACATTACGGAAACTACATATGGAATCAACAGAAACAGGGATTAATCGAAAGAAGAAGAAGAAGAAACAAAGAAATGATTAATCAGCATAGTTGCTAAGACCACCATCGTACCTGAGGCATGAGGCGGAGTTCCAGGAGGAGTTTCAACGACTTTATCTTGGAGAGAAAGGAGAAGATCAAGATCGTCTTCTTCGTTGGCCATAGAGCTCGCGCGTCGTTCTCGTCCGAAGGAATGCAAAATCGTTCGATTGTTCTATTGTTCTGTAGGGTGCGTTGTTTTGTTAATATCCAATTTTTTTTTTTTGGCGCGGAGGGAAATTTTTATTTTATACTTTTTTGGAGGGAACAAACGAAAATAGATGGCCGTTTCAAGTTTGACCGCCGAAGTATCCAATAGTCCATTGGGCCGTCGTTATAGGCCCATTCTTTTCTACTTAGTATGTTTTCAGATTTTGCTATTAGCACAATGTAAGTTGTGACAGCTTATTATGATATGTTCGGAGGAGTTATTGTCTGTCGTTGATCTCAAAGGTAGAATTAAAGAGCTTGACCATGATTTACCGTGTGACAGATGTTAGCTATGCTCGGAGGAGTTAAGATATTAGATATTGAATGATGTAGCAATGACCTAAAACGAAAATTGAGATTTCACTGTCTGTTTAAGAACCCAATATCCATCAAATATGCTAAAAACTTTCTAATTAAATGATAGGTCGAGGGTAAACGATAATTATTTTCTGTAGCCCAATATTCTTATAGTTGATCAATGATTATTACAATATTGGGTAACCCCGTCATATTTAATTCTGCCCAGATATATTTGCAAGTGAGATAATTGTCTTTTCAACATAGCGGCAAGAAGGTTGAGTCCCCCCGTCTTTTGTTCTATTCTCAAATCCCTAAACTTATGAAGTCTCATTTATGTAGTAGACCAATTTGTTAACATCCCCGAGCTATTTTTTATTAACATAATGACACCGAGTTGTTGTCAATCAATGTCAAACGGACACATTAGATTTACTTTAGTGAGTAATGGGATGGGATCATTACATAAATTACATAAATTCTATTCCATTTCCACCTGGGTTCATAAGAATCATCAGATTTCAGACACAACCATGGAAGTTTCTTATTACCATTTCATCAAACTTTACCAAAACACTTCAAAAAGAGGTTTTTGGATGAGTTCTGGGTTTTGAACCACAAGCACTCTCCAAGAACACTCAGAAAAGACATGGAAATGTTTCAAAAACTTGAGGCAGATCTCTGAACCAGTAAGCCACAAAAAAGAGAAGCAAGGGAACAAGAATATTGAATGGTTTATTTCCCTTTCAATCATTTTTATGACATACATTTGTATCATCAGCCAATAACAACCACCCAGGGGCGGAGGGAATGAATCCAAGAATTCCTATTTATTTACATTAATAATCTAGAAGTTGCAACTGAGAATGTAGTTTGAAAATTCCCTCTACGTTTTTTTGTTTTTTTTTCCTGAAAATGTGGCCAATAGTTGTTGTTCGACCAAACATTAACCAGACTGTGTGACCATTGCTCTAAACAAAGAGAAGAGAGCAACATAAACAAGGAGTACTGGATGAACAGAATGGTTAAAATATGAATGTACAAACTCCAAAAGGAAAAGAAAGTAAAAGAACTGGCTCTCTGACGGCACCTTTCACCACCAAAACTATATTGCAGACAAACAGGATCCGATGGCCCGAGTATTGCAAGTTAATACGTATACACAAGTTGTGGTTAGTCCCCCAAAAACTCATGACAAATCAAATGATCCTTGCCCCTCATTGATCGCATACATTAGTTTCTTGTACATTATTTCCTGCTCGCACAACACCAATCATTCATTCATCATTCACACCATCATCATCTCAAACAGTAAACAACATTCTCATCCTCAATTAATTAAAATGTTCATAAAATTAATTCATGAGCATGTACCTTGGTCGAGTATGGAGGAAGCTTAAGGTAATTGGCGCATGTCATGACACTAGGCAAATCATCGTCTGCTGATTCAGATGCCCCAGTCGCGCTGTTTGCTGCGTTTGATGCAGTGGATGAGTGCTGAAAAGATACATAGAGCATTTTCAGTGGAGAAAAATTATATAGCATACAAGCTAAGACTCATTGATTCAATGCCAAAAAAACACACGCAACCAAGCCATCATTTTGGTATCAAACCAAGCTATCATTAATTAGAAATCTCACTAAGGTTGGGGGATAGTACAAAGCAGGCAACTTGAAGATATTTCAGTGCAAATATTATCCAACGATTTACTTCTCCTCGATTCCTTCGGTATAATACCTTTCTCACGATAGTCAATCTTGGATTCAGCACTGCAAGGCCACCTGGTGGAAGCCTAGGTGCACCTGTAACAAATTGGCAGAATCCTCTCTGCTGCTCCGGTGTGAATTCGCCCATAATCTCAAGAAACTAAGAATGCCAAAAGAGACAGCATGTGAGGACCATGAATCAAGAATTGATACTCTCATAATTCCACACTCTATTATTCTGAGTTATGAAAATAACTCACATTGACTATGGCAGGACTTTTGGCTGTGTATCCATGATCAAATTTAATATGATCAACAAGTGTGTCAGCCTAAAAAATGAGATAATGTCACTATTATTTCAACAAGGCAATTTCACCACAAAATGAAATAAGAACTCTGAAACTAATGATTTATTAGCAGGAAGCATGAATATTTGACATTTTACCTTCCACAATTCTCTACGGCCACATAGCAAATGGTCCAACTCATGGGGAATGAATATGCGTAATGCTGTGATGTCAAAAACCTGAATTTCAAACATAAATAATCAAAAAGTGGGAGAGGACAGAGACAGCGCATACACATTTAAAGAAGAGGGAAAAGAAAACCATGCTGACATAGATTGTAGATTAATATGTATTGAAAACTCCCAGTTCTCGTTGATCAATGATTAATAACACTGAGTATTAGCCCCACGGGGCAGCTCTATTGGCAAAGATTAATTGGCCCATCTTTGGTGTGAATCCACTCACCCAAGTTGCTTTGTCAAAAACAGAATCAAATACCAATAATAATATATCAAGATCAATGTGATAAATTACAAATGATGGATAAATAACAATATTTTCCCCAGCACATAAGATATAATAGGTATCCAAAGTGAAATCCACATTCAGAAAGCTAAAAGATGGAATTAGTATATGAACACATCAATTAATCATTAGGGGAGACGTGATTGATTGACCTGTGTAAGGAAATCTTTGAAAAGCCATAAGCCATAAGCCATAATCCGCAATAAGAATGGGAGGCAAGAAAATTATAATACTGAACTATGGTTCTTGGTCCACAAATGCACAAAACATGCATTCATCGTTCTCTTTTAACTATGGAATCCCCCAATGCAGCAGGTTCCAAAATTAAGACAAATAACAAGACTATACAACATGGTAATTTGATGACTAGAGAGATAATTAATATCTTGGCAGACGTCTTAACAAAGTCTTGATACAAAAATTGAATCCAAAAGCCTTCCTTCAATACTACACCCATCTAATGCACACACATAACACCAATTTAAATAGAAATACCATTGATAAATTACCTGATTGAATCCTGTAGTAAATGCTTCCATTTGCCGCATTATTCCAGTCTTGACAGTTGCATCTAATACTAAGGATATGTACTCCTCCAAGTTATGAATATTAACCTGAAAATTTATCTAGTTTTAGAAGTTTTACTTAACTATGAAAAAGAGAGATGGCTAGCTTGAGTTTTTATAATGTACAGTTTCATCTCCTGGTCTCAAAACGTAGTCCGGATAGCCAGGAACTGTAAAATCCAAGCAGAGATCTTCAACTGGAATCCCACGGAAAGATAAGTTGGAAATTGTATTTTGATTGTCACCGTCTACCAATCCTAAATACTGTTTCCGGCAGACAAGAGCCTGCAGTTCTTGTAGAGTCTTCCCAAGCTCAGGGTCAAATGAGAGGATATCGTACAAATCAAGATCCTGAAAATTGAAATTCACCACACTTCAGCAAAATGAAAATATTAAAAGCACAAGCCCACACGATTGTCAACCATTAAGAGTGAAAAAGAAAAAGAAAAAGAAAGTATATCATACTACTGACTTACTTGACCAAGAACAAGCTTATAAAATGCTGTTGAGAGCGGTAGATCCAATAGTCTTCCATCTTGCAAAGCTTTAGCCATCACACGACCAACAAGCCGGAAATATTCAATAACCTTCGAAAATTGGCTGCCATCAGAAGAATCAGCATTTGGTTGCCAAGGTTGTGGAAACAACCCAAGAGGAGATTGAATGATATCAATATTGCCTGCATCAGAAATAAGCTTAGAGCCATCTTTTGGCTTCCTGAGCTGTCCATCTTCACCACTATCTATTGACTCTTGCAATGAATTAGACCTCCACATTCCAAGTCCAGCCCTCTGCAATTCATGACTTAAAAGTGTGTAGAATTCAAGAGTAGGACCTAATCCAGTTCCCACTTCACCAAAATATTCTACTTCAAGAACAGCCTTCTGGTTAGAATACATCTCCATAACTTTCACAGCAGAATCCAATATACGATTACGGGAGACACGAACCTTTTGGCGCTGCAATCTTCCAACCCTTCCCTCTCGTTCATTTACTGTTCCAAGACCATCAGCTCCTAACTGCTGATGTAGCCGATATAACGCACGTGACAACCCAAATGCAGTTGAATAAAAATATTGTCGTCGTGTCTCAAAAGGAAACAAGAACGGGCATGCCTTAGTCAATTGATAACACCATGAAGGAAGGCTCCCACTGCATAGTGCAAGAGCGTCTTGAATTTGTCGAGTCAATTTGGGAGTAAGCTTACTGTTAACAAATTCCTCATGAGGAACCTTTCCTCCAATTCCACCCAATTCATCAAGCGTAGTGATCTTTCCCTCTGCAAATTGATCCGACACTATTTGAGCCCTCAAGCGAGGAGCAAGCTGATTCAATCCCTCAAGTACACGCAATAAAGATAGTATATCATATGTAGAATTAGATTTGTCCAAATCACATGGAAGTTTTCCTTGTAAAATACTATCTAAAAGTGACATTTGATGGAACTGAGACTCTGAATTTGAATTGGAAGTTGATACACATTTGGTAGATTTAGATTTAGAGGAGCTTGATTCCCCAGCTAAAGCAGCTCTTTCAGATTGATTATCTGCCCTCTGATACGTGATGGTATATATATCACCCCACAAACTGCTCCCATCATTAGATAAGAAAT